GATGATTTGACTAAAGAATTCGATGTTCAACCTTCATCATCTGGAGACAAACAAGACATATTGACGACGATTAACGACCTTACAGTGGTATCAGAAGAAGAGATCAAAGAAGCAAAATTGAGCACTAGGTTAGAAGCTGAAGTGGTTTTAGCAAGTCTGGAAGAAACTGGTGACGAAACGGTAAAAATCAAAGACAAAGCTGTTACTAAATCGACTGATGTCATCACACTATCCGGTGACATTGAGACGAGAGAAGTAATAACTGAAAAAGATCAACAAAAGGAAAGTGACAATGTAATTGCACCATCCGACACCGTGAGTGAAAATCGTCCATTAAGTGACGAAACAAAGGATGAGCAAGGTGACAAAGCTGAGACAACTAAGATCATTGCAGCAAGTGCTCAAGACATGCAACGAGTGGAGAAGATCGGAGAAAGCAAGGAAACAATTAAAAAACCCGATGAAGCTGGATTAACAGTAATAAAAGACAAAGCTGAAGGGCTAGAAATCTCAACATACATCCAACCTTCAACTGCTGCAGAAGTCACAACAGTACAAACTGAAGCTCTTGCACAACAGGAGATCGATACTGAAGTTGTTTCTGAAGCCAAGCAACCAGGTAGGATCATCCCAGAAGAAGAAACTGGTCGTGTAGGGTTAGGGAATGAAAAGTACCCAAGCGTTCTATCAGATTCTGTGACCACACCTTCACAAGACAAAACTGCTATTGTAATAGAGCCTTCTGCTGCAACCCCTGAAGAAACTATTGATGATGAAACCGCCACTGGTAAAGAAAGTGCACCTCTACCAACAGTATGTACAGAGGAATTCCAGAGTAAAAAAACTACACAAGAAGTACCACTTGACCAATCCACACTAGAAATCCCCACAGATACTGATTCTCAATCAAATGAGGTCGACTCATTCAAAGCCACTAAAGTAGATGATATGGAACCTACAGCACATGTAAAAAATATAAAACTCACAGTAGAACAACAAGTCACTGATGCCCTTGTTACAACCGAGACAATTATTGAAACTGAATCTGAAATGTCAGCAAGTGTCAAAACTGCTCAAAATCAAGAAAACATGTGTGAACCAACAGAGACTCCAGAATGTTTGAAAACTAGTTCCACAAAAGCTTTGCCGATCACAAGCATTCCTGAAGTCAGTCATGATGTAGAAATCAGCATCAAGTTGTCGAATACGGAAATGTTAGCAACAGATGCGTCAGACACATCACATTCTGAAGATAATAAATTGTCTGCAGATTCTTCAAAGGATATTGATGATTTGACTAAAGAATTCGATGTTCAACCTTCATCATCTGGAGACAAACAAGACATATTGACGACGATTAACGACCTTACAGTGGTATCAGAAGAAGAGATCAAAGAAGCAAAATTGAGCACTAGTTTAGAAGCTGAAGTGGTTATAACAAGTCTGGAAGAAACTGGTGACAAAACTGTCAAAATCAAAGACAAAGCTGTTACCAAATCGACACTATCCGTTGACATTGAGATGAGAGAAGCAATAATTAAAAAAGATCAACAAAAGGAAAGTGACAATGTAATTGCACCATCTGATACCGCGAGTGAAAATCGTCCATTAAGTGACGAAACAAAGGATGAGCAAGGTGACAAAGCTGAGACAACTAAGATCATTGCAGCAAGTACTCAAGACATGCAACGAGTGGAGGAGATCGGAGAAAGCAAGGAAACTATTAAAAAACCCGATGAAGCTGGATTAACAGTAATGAAAGACAAAGCTGAAGGGCTAGAAATCTCAACATACATCCAACCTTCAACTGCTGCAGAAGTCACAACAGTACAAACTGAAGCTCTTGCACAACAAGAGATCGATAATGAAGTTGTTTCTGAAGCCAAGCAACCAGATAGGAGCATCCCAAAAGAAGAAACTGGTCGTGTAGGGTTAGGGAATGAAAAGTACCCAAGCGTTCTATCAGATTCTGTGACCACACCTTCACAAGACAAAACTGCTATTGTAATAGAGCCTTCTGCTGCAACCCCTGAAGAAACTATTGACGATGAAACCGCCACTGGGAAAGAAAGTGCACTTCTACCAACAGAATGTACAGAGGAATTCCAGAGTAAAGAAACTACACAAGAAGTACCGCTTGACCAATCCACACTAGAAATGAATGTGACTGAAGTGGTGACCTTGATTTCTCCACCTGTCCCTGTGGAGCATCAGTCTGGTCATGATGAATTATGCACAGATGTTCCCATTCAAATTGACCAACCAAGAGATTTAGATGGACACAAGCAAGACAAACCGAAGGGTGCACCACCAGGTGATACATTTGATGAAGCAACCGGTCAAGATGTGGGAAAACCACTCTTTCAGAGAATGAAAGAGAAAACGAAAGAATTTTTCAGCTCAAAGTCTGAAAATGTAGAGACTGACAGATCAATCCCAGCAGATACTGATTCACAATCAAATGAGGTCGACTCATTCAAAGCCACTAAAGTAGATGATAAGGAACCTACAGCACATGCAAAAGATATAGAAACCACAGTAGAAAAACAAGTCACTGATGCCCTTGTTACAACCGAGACAATTGTTGTAACTGAATCTGAAATTTCAGCAAGTGTCAAAACTGCTCAAAATCAAGAAAACATGTGTGAACCTACAGAGACTCCAGAATGTTTGAAAACTAGTTCCACAGAAGCTTTGCCGATCACAAGCATTCCTGAAGTCAGTCATGATGTAGAAATCGGCATCAAGTTGTCGAATACGGAAATGTTACCAACAGATGCGTCAGACACATCACATTCTGAAGACAATAAATTGGCTGCTGATTCTTCAAAGGATATTGATGATTTGACAAAAGAATTTGATGTTCAACCTTCATCATCTGGAGACAAACAAGACATATTGACGACGATTAACGACCTTACAGTGGTATCAGAAGAAGAGATCAAAGAAGCAAAATTGAGCACTAGTTTAGAAGCTGAAGTGGTTTTAACAAGTCTGGAAGAAACTGGTGACAAAACTGTCAAAATCAAAGACAAAGCCGTTACCAAATCGACACTATCCGTTGACATTGAGACGAGAGAAGCAATAATTAAAAAAGATCAACAAAAGGAAAGTGACAATGTAATTGCACCATCTGATACCGCGAGTGAAAATCGTCCATTAAGTGACGAAACAAAGGATGAGCAAGGTGACAAAGCTGAGACAACTAAGATCATTGCAGCAAGTACTCAAGACATGCAACGAGTGGAGGAGATCGGAGAAAGCAAGGAAACAATTAAAAAACCCTATGAAGCTGGATTAACAGTAATGAAAGACAAAGCTGAAGGGCTAGAAATCTCAACATACATCCAACCTTCAACTGCTGCAGAAGTCACAACAGTACAAACTGAAGCTCTTGCACAACAAGAGATCGATAATGAAGTTGTTTCTGAAGCCAAGCAACCAGATAGGAGCATCCCAAAAGAAGAAACTGGTCGTGTAGGGTTAGGGAATGAAAAGTACCCAAGCGTTCTATCAGATTCTGTGACCACACCTTCACAAGACAAAACTGCTATTGTAATAGAGCCTTCTGCTGCAACCCCTGAAGAAACTATTGATGATGAAACCGCCACTGGGAAAGAAAGTGCACTTCTACCAACAGAATGTACAGAGGAATTCCAGAGTAAAGAAACTACACAAGAAGTACCGCTTGACCAATCCACACTAGAAATGAATGTGACTGAAGTGGTTACCTCGATTTCTCCACCTGTCCCTGTGGAACATCAGTCTGGTCATGATGAATTATGCACAGATGTTCCCATTCAAATTGACCAACCAATAGATTTAGATGGACACAAGCAAGACAAACCGAAGGGTGCACCACCAGGTGATACATTTGATGAAGCAACCGGTCAAGATGTGGGAAAACCACTCTTTCAGAGAATTAAAGAGAAAACGAAAGAATTTTTCAGCTCAAAGTCTGAAAATGTAGAGACTGACAGATCAATCCCAGCAGATACTGATTCTCAATCAAATGAGGTCGACTCATTCAAAGCCACTAAAGTAGATGATAAGGAACCTACAGCACATGTAAAATATATAGAAAGCACATTAGAAAAACAAGCCACTGATGTCCTTGTTACAACCGAGACAATTGTTGTAACTGAATCTGAAATTTTAGCAAGTGTCAAAACTGATCAAAATCAAGAAAACATTTGTGAACCAACAGAGACCCCAGAATGTTTGAAAACTAGTTCCACAAAAGCTTTGCCGATCACAAGCATTCCTGAAGTCAGTCATGATGTAGAAATCAGCATCAAGTTGTCGAATACGGAAATGTTACCAACAGATGTGTCAGACACATCACATTCTGAAGACAATAAATTGGCTGCAGATTCTTCAAAGGATATTGATGATTTGACAAAAGAATTCGATGTTCAACCTTCATCATCTGGAGACAAACAAGACATATTGACGACGATTAACAACCTTACAGTGGTATCAGAAGAAGAGATCAAAGAAGCAAAATTGAGCACTAGTTTAGAAGCTGAAGTGGTTTTAACAAGTCTGGAAGAAACTGGTGACAAAATGGTCAAAATCAAAGACAAAGCTGTTACCAAATCGACTGATGTCATCACACTATCCGTTGACATTGAGACGAGAGAAGCAATAATTGAAAAAGATCAACAAAAGGAAAGTGACAATGTAATTGCACCATCCGACACCGTGAGTGAAAATCGTCCATTAAGTGACGAAACAAAGGATGAGCAAGGTGACAAAGCTGAGACAACTAAGATCATTGCAGCAAGTGCTCAAGACATGCAACGAGTGGAGGAGATCGGAGAAAGCAAGGAAACAATTAAAAAACCCGATGAAGCTGGATTAACAGTAATAAAAGACAAAGCTGAAGGGCTAGAAATCTCAACATACATCCAACCTTCAACTGCTGCAGAAGTCACAACAGTACAAACTGAAGCTCTTGCACAACAGGAGATCGATACTGAAGTTGTTTCTGAAGCCAAGCAACCAGGTAGGATCATCCCAGAAGAAGAAACTGGTCGTGTAGGGTTAGGGAATGAAAAGTACCCAAGCGTTCTATCAGATTCTGTGACCACACCTTCACAAGACAAAACTGCTATTGTAATAGAGCCTTCTGCTGCAACCCCTGAAGAAACTATTGATGATGAAACCGCCACTGGTAAAGAAAGTGCACCTCTACCAACAGTATGTACAGAGGAATTCCAGAGTAAAAAAACTACACAAGAAGTACCACTTGACCAATCCACACTAGAAATCCCCCCAGATACTGATTCTCAATCAAATGAGGTCGACTCATTCAAAGCCACTAAAGTAGATGATATGGAACCTACAGCACATGTAAAAAATATAAAACTCACAGTAGAACAACAAGTCACTGATGCCCTTGTTACAACCGAGACAATTATTGTAACTGAATCTGAAATGTCAGCAAGTGTCAAAACTGCTCAAAATCAAGAAAACATGTGTGAACCAACAGAGACTCCAGAATGTTTGAAAACTAGTTCCACAAAAGCTTTGCCGATCACAAGCATTCCTGAAGTCAGTCATGATGTAGAAATCAGCATCAAGTTGTCGAATACGGAAATGTTAGCAACAGATGCGTCAGACACATCACATTCTGAAGACAATAAATTGTCTGCAGATTCTTCAAAGGATATTGATGATTTGACTAAAGAATTCGATGTTCAACCTTCATCATCTGGAGACAAACAAGACATATTGACGACGATTAACGACCTTACAGTGGTATCAGAAGAAGAGATCAAAGAAGCAAAATTGAGCACTAGGTTAGAAGCTGAAGTGGTTTTAGCAAGTCTGGAAGAAACTGGTGACGAAACGGTAAAAATCAAAGACAAAGCTGTTACTAAATCGACTGATGTCATCACACTATCCGGTGACATTGAGACGAGAGAAGTAATAACTGAAAAAGATCAACAAAAGGAAAGTGACGATGTAATTGCACCATCCGACACCGTGAGTGAAAAGCGTCCATTAAGTGAAGAAACAAAGGATGCACAAGGTGACAAAGCTGAGACAACTAATATCATTGCAGCAAGTGCTCAAGACATGCAACGAGTGGAGGAGATCGGAGAAAGCAAGGAAACAATTAAAAAACCCGATGAAGCTGGATTAACAGTAACGAAAGACACAGCTGAAGGGCAAGAAATCTCAACATACATTCAACCTTCAACTGCTCCAGAAGTCACAACAGTACAAACTGAAGCTCTTGCACAACAAGAGATCGATAATGAAGTTGTTTCTGAAGCCAAGCAACCAGAAAGGATCATCCCAAAAGAAGAAACTGGTCGTGTAGGCTTAGGGAATGAAAAGTACCCAAGCGTTCTATCAGATTCTGTGACCACACCTTCACAAGACAAAACTGCTATTGTAATAGAGCCTTCTGCTGCAACCCCTGAAGAAACTATTGATGATGAAACCGCCACTGGGAAAGAAAGTGCACCTCTACCAACAGTATGTAAAGAGGAATTCCAGAGTAAAGAAATTACGCAAGAAGTACCGCTTGACAAATCCACACTAGAAATGAATGTGACTGAAGTGGTAACCTCGATTTCTCCACCTGTCCCTGTGGAACTTCAGTCTGGTCATGATGAATTATGCACAGATGTTCCCATTCAAATTGACCAACCAATAGATTTAGATGGACACAAGCAAGAAAAACCGAAGGGTGCACCACCAGGTGATACATTTGATGAAGCAACCGGTCAAGATGTGGGAAAACCACTCTTTCAGAGAATTAAAGAGAAAACGAAAGAATTTTTCAGCTCAAAGTCTGAAAATGTAGAAACTGAAAGATCAATCCCAGCAGATACTGATTCTCAATCAAATGAGGTCGACTCATTCAAAGCCACTAAAGTAGATGATAAGGAACCTACAGCACATGTAAAAGATATAGAACTCACAGTAGAACAACAAGTCACTGATGCCCTTGTTACAACCGAGACAATTATTGTAACTGAATCTGAAATTTCAGCAAGTGTCAAAACTGCTCAAAATCAAGAAAACATTTGTGAACCAACAGAGACTCCAGAATGTTTGAAAACTAGTTCCACAAAAGCTTTGCCGATCACAAGCATTCCTGAAGTCAGTCATGATGTAGAAATCAGCATCAAGTTGTCGAATACGGAAATGTTACCAACAGATGCGTCAGACACATCACATTCTGAAGACAATAAATTGGCTGCAGATTCTTCAAAGGATGTTGATGATTTGACAAAAGAATTCGATGCTCAACCTTCATCATCTGGAGACAAACAAGACATATTAACGACGATTAACGACCTTACAGTGGTATCAGAAGAAGAGATCAAAGAAGCAAAATTGAGCACTAGGTTAGAAGCTGAAGTGGTTTTAGCAAGTCTGGAAGAAACTGGTGACGAAACGGTTAAAATCAAAGACAAAGCTGTTACCAAATCGACTGATGTCATCACACTATCCGTTGACATTGAGACGAGAGAAGCAATAATTGAAAAAGATCAACAAAAGGAAAGTGACAATGTAATTGCACCATCTGATACCGCGAGTGAAAATCGTCCATTAAGTGACGAAACAAAGGATGAGCAAGGTGACAAAGCTGAGACAACTAAGATCATTGCAGCAAGTGCTCAAGACATGCAACGAGTGGAGGAGATCGGAGAACGCAAGGAAACAATTAAAACACCCGATGAAGCTGGATTAACAGTAATGAAAGACAAAGCTGAAGGGCTAGAAATCTCAACATACATCCAACCTTCAACTGCTGCAGAAGTCACAACAGTACAAACTGAAGCTCTTGCACAACAAGAGATCGATAATGAAGTTGTTTCTGAAGCCAAGCAACCAGATAGGAGCATCCCAAAAGAAGAAACTGGTCGTGTAGGGTCAGGGAATGAAAAGTACCCAAGCGTTCTATCAGATTCTGTGATCACACCTTCACAAGACAAAACTGCTATTGTAATAGAGCCTTCTGCTGCAACCCCTGAAGAAACTATTGATGATGAAACCGCCACTGGGAAAGAAAGTGCACCTCTACCAACAGTATGTACAGAGGAATTCCAGAGTAAAGAAATTACGCAAGAAGTACCGCTTGACCAATCCACACTAGAAATGAATGTGACTGAAGTGGTGACCTTGATTTCTCCACCTGTCCCTGTGGAACTTCAGTCTGGTCATGATGAATTATGCACAGATGTTCCCATTCAAATTGACCAACCAATAGATTTAGATGGACACAAGCAAGACAAACCGAAGGGTGCACCACCAGGTGATACATTTGATGAAGCACCCGGTCAAGATGTGGGAAAACCACTCTTTCAGAGAATTAAAGAGAAAACGAAAGAATTTTTCAGCTCAAAGTCTGAAAATGTAGAGACTGACAGATCAATCCCAGCAGATACTGATTCTCAATCAAATGAGGTCGACTCATTCAAAGCCACTAAAGTAGATGATAAGGAACCTACAGCACATGTAAAAGATATAGAAACCACAGTAGAAAAACAAGTCACTGATGCCCTTGTTACAACCGAGACAATTGTTGTAACTGAATCTGAAATTTCAGCAAGTGTCAAAACTGCTCAAAATCAAGAAAACATTTGTGAACCAACAGAGACTCCAGAATGTTTGGAAACTAGTTCCACAGAAGCTTTGCCGATCACAAGCATTCCTGAAGTCAGTCATGATGTAGAAATCAGCATCAAGTTGTCGAATACGGAAATGTTACCAACAGATGCGTCAGACACATCACATTCTGAAGACAATAAATTGGCTGCAGATTCTTCAAAGGATATTGATGATTTGACAAAAGAATTCGATGTTCAACCTTCATCATCTGGAGACAAACAAGACATATTGACGACGATTAACGACCTTACAGTGGTATCAGAAGAAGAGATCAAAGAAGCAAAATTGAGCACTAGTTTAGAAGCTGAAGTGGTTTTAACAAGTTTGGAAGAAACTGGTGACAAAACGGTCAAAATCAAAGACAAAGCCGTTACCAAATCGACTGATGTCATCACACTATCCGTTGACATTGAGACGAGAGAAGCAATAATTGAAAAAGATCAACAAAAGGAAAGTGACAATGTAATTGCACCATCCGACACCATGAGTGAAAATCGTCCATTAAGTGACGAAACAAAGGATGAGCAAGGTGACAAAGCTGAGACAACTAAGATCATTGCAGCAAGTGCTCAAGACATGCAACGAGTGGAGGAGATCGGAGAAAGCAAGGAAACAATTAAAAAACCCGATGAAGCTGGATTAACAGTAATAAAAGACAAAGCTGAAGGGCTAGAAATCTCAACATACATCCAACCTTCAACTGCTGCAGAAGTCACAACAGTACAAACTGAAGCTCTTGCACAACAGGAGATCGATAATGAAGTTGTTTCTGAAGCCAAGCAACCAGGTAGGATCATCCCAGAAGAAGAAACTGGTCGTGTAGGGTTAGGGAATGAAAAGTACCCAAGCGTTCTATCAGATTCTGTGACCACACCTTCACAAGACAAAACTGCTATTGTAATAGAGCCTTCTGCTGCAACCCCTGAAGAAACTATTGATGATGAAACCGCCACTGGTAAAGAAAGAGCACCTCTACCAACAGTATGTACAGAGGAATTCCAGAGTAAAAAAACTACACAAGAAGTACCACTTGACCAATCCACACTAGAAATCCCCCCAGATACTGATTCTCAATCAAATGAGGTCGACTCATTCAAAGCCACTAAAGTAGATGATATGGAACCTACAGCACATGTAAAAAATATAAAACTCACAGTAGAACAACAAGTCACTGATGCCCTTGTTACAACCGAGACAATTATTGTAACTGAATCTGAAATGTCAGCAAGTGTCAAAACTGCTCAAAATCAAGAAAACATTTGTGAACCAACAGAGACTCCAGAATGTTTGAAAACTAGTTCCAAAGAACCTTTGCCGATCACAAGCATTCCTGAAGTCAGTCGTGATGTAGAAATCAGCATCAAGTTGTCGAATACGGAAATGTTACCAACAGATGCGTCAGACACATCACATTCTGAAGACAATAAATTGTCTGCAGATTCTTCAAAGGATATTGATGATTTGACAAAAGAATTCGATGTTCAACCTTCATCATCTGGAGACAAACAAGACATATTGACGACGATTAACGACCTTACAGCAGTATCAGAAGAAGAGATCAAAGAAGCAAAATTGAGCACTAGGTTAGAAGCTGAAGTGGTTTTAGCAAGTCTGGAAGAAACTGGTGACGAAACGGTAAAAATCAAAGACAAAGCTGTTACTAAATCGACTGATGTCATCACACTATCCGGTGACATTGAGACGAGAGAAGTAATAACTGAAAAAGATCAACAAAAGGAAAGTGACGATGTAATTGCACCATCCGACACCGTGAGTGAAAATCGTCCATTAAGTGAAGAAACAAAGGATGCACAAGGTGACAAAGCTGAGACAACTAATATCATTGCAGCAAGTGCTCAAGACATGCAACGAGTGGAGGAGATCGGTAAAAGCAAGGAAAACACTCAAGAACCTGAAGCGGTTGCTTTATCCGTACGTAACAATATAATTAAACCTTTTGAAAAATCCGCAGGCATCCAACCGTCTAATGTTAAAAAAGTCACACTTGAACTGAATGTACTTTCTGCAGATGAAAAAATTAATGATGAAGAATCCTCTGACATTGAGCAGGGTGCTTTGATTACGCTAGACAGTGAAAAGTCACTCACTGGAGATCCCTTTGCCCTGAGTAAAACCTCTTCAGATAAACCGACTGAAACAAAAGAAGTTCCTTCCATTGCAACATCTGAAAAGACTGTCATTGACACTGACACCACAAAAACCAGTGAACCCCAGCACGTAACGTCTGCTCTGGAAGTGTGCGATGAAAGATTAACCCAACCAGAAAGTGATACTCTAAAATCTCCCCCTGAAATGAACGAGGTTGAAGCAGTCACATCTCTTTTACCACCTTCCACTGATGATATGTATTCTGCTGTTGAGAAAACTTACAAAGATAGAGCACACAAACTTGAAAAGAGCTCGTTAGAATCAGTTGCTTCTGTGGAGAGTGAAAAAAGAGAGGCAAATAGTACACCATTCGTGGAGGAACAACTTCAAAAGGAGAGGACAAAATCTGTTATTGATATAATGATAGAAAAAGCTCAAGGCATTTTAACTGACAAGTCTGACAGTGAGGAAGATGACACAGTTTTCCCAGAAGCTGAAGTCCAAAATTACGAGACTGATACATCTGAAACCACATCTGGTATGTCTGCAGAGAGCATCAAAGAAACTGCACGTGATGTTCATGGTAATGTTGAAGAGAAAATTGTTACCAATGGTGAGGTCGTTTCAGAATTAACATCTCATGGGCAAGAAATTTCAGTTGATATTACGCTTACCGCTCATCCAGACAATGCCCCTCAGCCAATTGTACATTCTGAAGAAGTCACATCTACATCACCATCTGCCAGTGATGAAATGCAGGCTGATCTTGACAAGATGTGCACAGACGAATCGAGCATGCACAAAATATATTCGAAAGAAGTATTTTTTTCTGTGGAAAAGAAGAATACTAATTCAGATACAGCAGAAGGATTGGATGATGCACCGCATCATAGAGAGAGGAAAAAATCAATATTTGATATTATTATAGAAAAAGCTAAGGACATAATTCATGGACCATCTGAAAGTGAGGTAATTGAATCAGTCTCCCAAGAAGAAATTGAAGCCAAGGATAAAAAGATTGATACACTTGGTACCACGTCTGATCATACTTTAGAGCTGCATGTGAAAACTACGCAACATGTGAATGTTACTGCAGATGAGGAACTCGATCATGCCAGTGATGTAATGTGTTCAAATGTTAAAGCGGTCAGCACCACTACTTGTCCAGAAAGTACCCCTGTACCAAGCGAGACTTCTGCAGTTAAAGAATTAAATGATGAAGAACACACTAATATCGCACATTTTGCTTGGACTGTTCCAGAGGTAGAATTTGGAATTATAAAATCCGATGTTAAAAAGTCGAGCGCTGACAAATCAGTTCCCTTCACTGCAATCTCTTCAGTTGAATCTAGTGTTGAAAAAGAAGAGTTTTTCACAGTAACATCTCGAAATACCATCAGTGACACTGACACAACAAAAATAAGTGACTCCAGGTGTAGTACGTCTGATCTGGAAGTGCGCAGTGAAGGAGTAACCCAACCAGAAAGTGAGACTCTCAAATGCCCACCCGAAGTGAGCGAGGCTGAAGCAGTCGCATCTCTTTTACCGCCTTCCACTGACAAAAGTGATTCTGATCTCGATAAAACTTGCAAAGACATAGCAACCGAAGTTGAGAAGACCACATTAGAATTAGTTGCGTCTGTTGAGGCTGAGAAAATAGAGGCAGATGCAGCCGAATTTGTAGATGAAAAACTGAATGAAAAGAGGAAAACATCAATTGTTGATATTATCATAGAAAAAGCAAAAGGTATGTTTACTGACAAGTCTGACAGTGAGGAAGAGGACTTAGGTTTCCCAGAAGAAACTGAAGTTCAAGATTATGAGACTGATACATCTGAAACTACATCTGGTTCATCTGCAGAAAGTGAAAAAGTAATAACAGATGTGGTTGTTTCAAAATTAAAATCTGAAGGGCAAGGAATTGCAGTTGATGATGAGCTTATTACAGATTATGTAAATGAAGCAGCGGCATCTATCTTACCGGTTTCCTCCGGAGAAATCCATGCTGATCTTGACATAGCATGCACGGACGAATCAAGCAGGCAAATAGAAACATCAAGAACACTGCTTTCTTCTGCGGAAAATAGGAATACTCATTCAGACACAACAGAAGTATTGCATGATCAACCATCTCATAGAGAGAGGAAAACATCCATTATTGATATTGTCATCGAAAAAGCTAAATGCATAATTACTGGGCCATCTGAGAGTGGCGTAACAGAGACAACCTCCCAAAAACAAATTACATCTGAAGATGAAAAGGTTGATACACCTGATGGCACATCTCATGATACTTTGGAAGTACAGGCAACAACTATTCAACTTGTGCATGCGATTGCAGATGACGAAATTATTAATGCCAGTCATGTAACCACTGTGAATATAAATGCAGTTAGCACCACCACTCATCCAGAAAGTACCGTTATAACAAGCGACACTTCTACAGTCAAAGAAACAAATGATGACGTACGCTCAGAAATTACGCATACTTCCTGGAATATTCCAGAGGTAGAATTCGGTATTGTAAATGCTGATACTAAAAAGTCAAGCAATGCAGAGAAGGTTACTTTGACTACAATCTCTTTAGACAAACGCGTGGTTACAATAAGGTCTTCCTTGGCAACTGCCAGTGATACTGATGCCACAAAAATAAGTGAAGCCCCGTGTTTAACATCTGAACTGGTAAATGAAATTGGTCCAGTTGCAAGGCTTGAAGAGACTGTGCACGATACCACCACCGCCAAAGAGGAAACTGAAGCTCTCATTTCACCACTTGAACTAAATGCGGCTGAAGATAGAGCATCTATCTCACCCTCGGCAACTGACGAAATGGATGCCAATCTCTTTGACATGTATGTAGACGAAACAACCAAACTAGTAAACGTCTCTTGTGAATCGGTTGTCTCTGCAGAAACTAGGAAAAATAGGATGGATACAAAAGAAAGAGTCTACGAAGAACCACACCGTAAAGAGAGGAGCAAATCTCTAATTGACATTGCCATAGAAAGAGCCAAAGACATGTTTGCTGGACCAACTAATCGAGAGGAATATGAGTCAGTCTCCCAAAAAGAAATTGAAGACGGGGACGATGTGACCGACACATTTCATACTGCATCTGATGTCACTGCAGAAAGTCATCAAGAAACTATACATCGTGAAGTTAGTTTAAGCAAAGAAAGTGCTGAAACTATTGATGCAACCGTTTCAAATTTCCAAGCAGATAAAGTGGAAGGAGCAGTCGAAAACGAGAAACCTACTTCAGAAATCAACACTGCGCTAATTTTGACATCTCAAGAAGTCGAAATAAAGAACGAAGAATTCCCCGAAGCCACAACTTCTTCAGGCAGTGTCCCAGTTCGGAAAGGTGAAACTCACGTTGCACAGTCAGTTCAGATTCTCAGTGGTGCTCACAGCATCAAAGAATATGCCCCTCAGAATAGAGCGTTTACAATGGAGGTTCATCATAAAGAAATGAAAGAAATGGATGACCAAGAAGAAAATGATGCAGTTTCTACACTGAATAAAGACGAGGAGGAAAAACTGGAAGAAGAATTTAAAGTTAAATTACATCAGTCAGAACCAACATCTACCAAGATGCATGATGCTCTGCCCACAACTACAAAGGCCATCACCAACATCAGCACCTCTTCTGCACTTGACGTCGCAAGTGCACCACGAGCCACAGAAACGCCGACAAAAGAACAAGAATTACCCACACACATCCCACGTGATAATCCTGAAGAAAGTTCCACGACGGTAACAAGGGTTTACGTTGACAACACGTGCATTGAGGAGGAAGTTTACATTGTTACATTCATCTCTACAATTTGTAAGTCATCTGCAGATGCATTGACCTCTGAGGAAGAAACATCTCGTGATTCGCAGAATTCCACGTTGTATGACGTCTCAATCCTTCAACAAATAGAGACACCTATTGAAAATCAACAAACATTTAGCACAATGTCTGAGCAACACAAACACGATCAGCCAAATGTGCTAGAAGACAATGTATTCCTTGCACATGACCAACCTCAAAAGACAATCGATGGGTCAACATTTGAAGGAGGAAAGCCTGAAGCTGATAGAAACCAGAGCAAACCTTCTTCATCCACTGAGGAATGCATGACGTATTTGAAAAACACATTGAGTCCAACAGGGAGTGAAGTTAAAATAACATTCGTAAACAAAGAAGACGTGGACATTATTTACATAAGGCCTGCTCGAAAAAGTGTCTCGGTTGAAGTGCATCAAAGTGCGAGTGGGAAGGATTGTCTAGCACATCTTTCCTCTGCCACGGAAGGTGTCACACACGAATCAACAGAAGCGTCCTCCACACACACCCAGAAGCAGGGCACTGAAAACTCACTGACGGAAACTGGAGCAACCACAACAGAAGGGTCATTCGTTGTAACCACGGCATCTACAGAGGAGACTAAGGCTTTTGCTTTGAGGTCAAAAGAGACCCCTCATGACACTTCTCCCGTTACAGAAACTGTAATGCATGACTGGGAAGAAGTTACCACTTGCAAAGATGATCATCGGGTTGTTGACCCTGTAGGAGAAGTCAAAGAGCCTTCATTAACGACTGCCACATCAACATTGGTCACTGCTCCGCTTAAATTTTACCACGAGGAAACATTTTCAGATGGAGCGACAAAACACAGAGACGGTTCAGAATTATTTGCCGAAGTGAAAATTGAGCCGAGAGAGGAAGAACGTGTCAAAGAGCCACCTTTCAAACAAAAGGAAGCCATTGGAAAGGCCGAAGAACTCATTAGTGGAAGCAATGTTGCCTTAACACAAGAAGAGACCTCAAAACTTCTCAGTGAAACAGAAGAACAATGTGACTCAGGAAAAGGAACTGAAAAACATACATTACAGGAAACACTTTCAATCGTCACTGATAAAGAATGCAACTACGATGATGATGAAGAATCGTTTCATGCAAATACAGCACCTGCTTCTGTGCAATATCAAATTCAGGATCATGATAAATCAACAATACAGTTACCTCCTGATCAGTCCACGAGTCAAGGAGATGCACAAACATCTTTCATTGGCAGGATCATACAGACAGCTAAAAGTTTGTTAACTGGAAAATCTGAGTCAGACCAGGAAGACACCTCAAACTCTCAATTAACTACAGAAATACATGCTGACACAGGAGATGCATCTGTTTCCATTTCAGAAAATGAGAAAGAATCAACATGTGGTAAAGATACGGCAGAGAGTAAGATCGCCGCCGATGCTGCTGCCACAGATGCAGAAGAATATGGATTGTCATGGAATATCACTCAACACGTGTCTTTTGCCGCTACTGAAACCACTGATTTAAACATATTTCTTGGCCAGGGACAATGTATCAATGTAAAAGATGAATTAGCGTATACGAATGATAAACATTACATTTCGTCAATAACAGACCAAGGAGAACGAAATGAACTCGCATTGACAGAAGATCCATCAAGTGAGAGTAGAACTGATGAAACAACTGAAGTCCTAGTAGAAGATGAAACTAGACAAGACCATGCAGATATGATGAAAAGACGGTTAATGAGTTGCACCGGGGATGAAACGCAGATTTCATTTGTCTACATCGATGACACAGAAATAATGTATGTAAAACCAGCTCGAAAAGATTCAGCTGCTTGTCTCGTTGATGAAGGATATGAAGTTGCCAGTGGAAAAGACCCCGAAGCATCCACTCAATATTTGGATCAACATCAGCAGTTTGGAATGATGGAACCCCACGTACACATAGAGTATAGTGAGAAGGATAGTCATACAAGTACAGCAGCTGTCTCTGATTCCTCCTGTGTAGATACATGGGTGCATGCATTTAAGGAACTTGAAGCAGAATTGGAGGACTCTAAAAGCAAAGCTGAAGCTGATGATTTTACATTCTGGAGAGAGGATTCCAAGGAAATTACAGAAATACCATCCTTTGTCCATCCTACCTCAACTGATGAACGTCCTCTCGCTGAACTAAACACAGCCTTGACAACAGAATCCGCTGAAATGAAGAATGGACCAGAATTGCAATCATCAATATCACATACAACCTTCAATAAAATCCACCTCCATTATCCCGAGAGCAACACGGAACATACAGAAGAGGAGCGGGAGATTGAGACCTTGTCTGCAGCCATTGCCTCCACGGCATGTGAACAAGGAATTAATACAAGTAAAGAATTGCTGAAACGTTCAAAGGCTTCCATTAAACCAGACATTATTCTTGTGCATACTGCCAAAACAGGAATTGGTCATCAAGAAACTTCCATACACACAACTGCTTTAGCAGCTAAAGAGGATACTAAAGATGAAAGTTATTTAGTCAATGTAGATTCACCACGCATTGAAAGTAAATTAGCCGCCGATTCCTCTGAAGGTAACGCTGCACACGCGGCTGAAACGGGATTCGATGCACAAACTGAAGAGGGCCAGGAAACAGCTTCTACTGCAGACACGATTGATGTTCCGCCTGAAAAATTAAATGAACTCGAAATCGATGGCACTAATGTTGAAGCGACAACTCGGACTGCTGCATCGGTGCGAGTCGACACATTGTTAAAATCTACTGTCACCGCCGAAAGTCCTCCTGATCACCATGACAATTGTAAGGATGCAACTACTGAAAGCGAAGAGTGCCCCTCGGATTTTGTGGATGATCAACTGCAAGAGGTAGATATAAATAAAACGTCTTTTATTACACGAACAATACAAAAGGTGAAAGACATTTTCATTGGAACGCCAGTTAACGAGGAGACGCAGTTGACACGTCAAGAAGATTTGGAAGCAAACACTGGTGAGCTGGAGACAATCACCAGAGCGAAAGAAAGTCCACATTCTCAGCTTCAAGTTGAAGCTGGCGACACCAGAGATTTGGAAAAAGAAGTAAAACAAACAGAAGAATTACACGCTGGTGCCCATTCTCATCCTGATCAAGAAGTTAATGTGGTCACGGACCCCATTGCTGACGAAGGTATAACTGTTGGGGGAAGCACTAGAAGTACAACCGATAATTTCATTATTCAGTGGCCAGAGCGTGTTAATCCTTTTAATGACATGAGTATATCTTTATCTGATAGTGCTGTGACAATAACTGTAGCCCCAAGAGATGCAGCTGCTAATGTGCTGGAGAAGCAAGATAATGCACCATCGGACATATCTCTAAAAGATGCCACCACAGGGGAATCTGCAAAAGCTACGCATTCAGAATCTGATGAAGAATTTCACGATTGTTTGACTGTTTTGGAAGAATTCCCTATGCCTGTTATATCAAAGGATGCGGTTGAGCACCCTAAACGGTCAGAATCAGTGTTTACTGATAAGATTCCTCCTCATCACCTTGAAGCATATACACAAATTATAACCACACCTGAAGAAAATTTAGTTAAAGGTCCAGAAACAAGTACAAACATTTTATCCGCGGTTGATGCGGAAAATCTTAAAATATCAGAAGCACCACAGTTCTCACCAGAACTCAGAGATGAAGATTTTCCCCATGACATTAATACTTCTGAGGCAGTTCACCAATCAGACACTAGCATCATATTATCTGATGCTGAACAAGTTATAAAAAGACCATCTGTAGAGAGCCATGCATCTGACTTAGATAGGACATTTTTCATAGAAAGTAATGTCTATAAGGGCCAATTCAGTATTTCAGAGAAAATTGTGAATGAGTCAGAAGCAGGATTGTCAGACAGCGGTGACAGAGGCAATCAAATCGCACGTGAATTGGACAAAAGCTGCACCACTACAGAGCAGATGATACCCACAGAGACAAAAGTGAACACGTATGACACAACTGCTCCTCGAGACGAAACTCCCAAAACAACACGCAAGCAGTCCTTTATACAAAGCCTCCAGAGTTTGCTTCCATTTGGTGACAAGACAGCCGTGAAATCAGACCATGCGACGAGCACAGACGTCAGTGAGCCTGGGCAAGTCACGTGCGAGGCGGCTGAAAATTGCACGGAAGAAACAAGTCACCCGGCATTAAGGGACAAGGCACAGCAAACCACAAACGAGCAGCCACTGCATCCATCACACGCTGCCACTGACAAAGTAACATCTGAAGATGTTGCGCCCAAGAGCGACGGGACTGCAGATGCGCAGAGCAGTGAAACACACAAGGCAAGTCAGACGTACAGCAGGCATTTAACATCCTCAATCATTTGCGAATGCATGATGCAGCCGGAAATTACTACAACATCTAAGCACGACATGCAAACACAAAAAGCCACAGAAATCACACAAGACTGCCCGGTGACCAAACAAAGCAAAGCAACGGACGAATACGGACAAGCGACATTTTCACCTTCCTCTCAGCTGCTTTCAATTAAAGAAGTTGGTCACCAAGTGAAAGAGCACTTATTCAGTCTAATGAAGCAGTCGCCTGGCAAGCACGAAGCTGAATTCGCCAGCAGCGAGATAGAGAACGTGGTGGACAGCTGCGCCCTGGCACTGAAAGTACTGGCTCCCGATGCCCAACAGGAGCGCCACGTGAGTTCAATCACCCAGACGCTCATTAAACACTCCTCGCTCGGGACACTCACGGCCACGGCGGAGGCGGCGTCGCTCCTGAAGAAGCACCCAACGGACCCGGCGGTAGGCGCTGCGGTCTCCGTGTTGGCCGTCTGCACCGCCGTCGGAGAGGCTCTCAATTTATTCTGTATCAAGACCACGGGTGAAACGTTGTCTCAGTGCTCGTGTTCATCCCTTCCCGCCGAGGCAATGAGTGAGGAGCTCAGGATGGTGGTGCACGGACTCCTGCACGACGACGGGAGTGGCCGTCGGCCACCGGGCACCGTGGCCACGTTGCGAAGAGCCGCTCTGGGGGTTGCCGTGACTCTCAGCGCATATGCCGTGCACCTGCAGACCCCCAGCGACGAGCAGACGGGCTCCATCGCAGTGTTCATACGGCAGCTGTGGAACGCCGAGCAGCGAGGGCGCGCGGGCAGAACGTGTGCGCCGACGTCACCCGAAGTATCACCACAGCCACGGACGGCATCAACCCAACCGCGAGAAACATCAACCACCCAGCTACCAGCGACATCAACCCAAACATCATCAGCAGCAGCATCATTGCCAGCGCTGTCCGTCGAGACGTGCACTCTCTTGGAACGCCTCCGTTCGAGCAGAGGTCCCCTGGCCTCGACTCTGGGCTCGGTGGCCGCCGCCGTGCTGATGGCGACGCGCCTCGCCGAGGAGGGCGACCCCACGCTGGTGGACGAGATGGTGCGGCACATGGCGTGTGGCTGCTGCCACCATGCGTTCGACACCGTGGCACACCTCGTGCCGTGAATGGCGCTGTGGCAGGAACGAGATTGCCGCTAGCAGTGTACCGAAGCGTGCACACGCTCCAGGCTCCGGCGGATGTCTCACGTCTAGGCTTGCCGCCTGTCACGCTCTTCTCCCAGCTGTTTCCATTTTTTTGTGGTTAGTTGTCCTCGGAAATCTGTCAGTCCTGCCAGGACAATGACAGTCCCCATTTCTGTCAATTGCGTGAAATAATACACCTCTCAAGAGATGCATTTACCTATAGTTATCCCCTCTACGGGAATTGTGAGATATCCCCCCCCCCCCCCCCCATATGTCTTCATTTTTTCTACAGCACAGGTGGCAACCATATACCACACGTATCATGTCTTGGGTGAAAATTTTGATGGGACTTATTTTTTTCTGCAACACCAAAAACTGAAATTCACGTGAAGAAGGTCACTGTGGCTGCTTTGGAATGCCTGGCGAATGTGACGGGCAAAGCATCAGCTCATTGTTATCGTTGGCCGTTGCCGCCATCTTGCTTGCAGTCAACGTTCAGTCGGTGCCACTGGAAATGACCTCATGGCCATTCAGTGAAAGATGTTGGCGTGGTTTATTTTTTACAGAACTACAAAATGATAACGCAATAATTTTTTTGTTATTTTTATGTCATTTGCAGATGATTGAGGTATGCGGAATTAACGAAATAGAGAATGAAAACACATTTCGTTTTTTTGTTTAAGTTCTGCAATGACTGCATTGCAGTCATTTCATAGGATGCAGTCATTGTAATGAAAAGCCAACCGAAATTGTGCATGAAGGAGAAACTATTGGTCTGTGAATGACATTTAATGGAATCTTAATTGTGCATGAAGGGGGGAATTTGATTGGTATGATTTTAATAAGGTTTACTAATTAGGTCATTAATAAAAACACTCAATAGTTTAAGATGATAGAAACATTTTTCTTCAAGATATACTTTATAAACCATAGAGAAATTCCACAAGTATGTTATGTCAGTAACAACAACAAAAAAGACTAATTTTAGGAAGTTAAGAATGATAATCATGTCAGAGTTGCGCTGGCACAACTGAGAAGCTGGATTCTAATCTAGGCAGCTGCCTGCGATTCAACCGGGTTCTCAAGTGTGGCACTTTGATGGTCTCGGCGGCCTGGTCAGTAATGCTGCACAAAAAACAATAATATTAAATTTAGTTCTGCACTTAATGTAGCTAAAATCCAACTCTCAGAACTAGATATATCGGCTTTACTGTCGTGTGATGAATGTTATTCATCAATATGCAGAGCAGGTAGGAAATTGCTGCCCTCTACTGTATAGATCAACGGTCACTGGAAGAGATCTCAGAGGTAGCTCTGTGATATCCACTTCCATGGACCGTTATCTAACCTGAAAGGATTGCACTGCTCTGCGAGAGTTGCTAATGGATTCTTTGTCTTACGATGCGACCCCGATAACACAATCAGGATCAAATTGGGTGACTTTTTCAAAGAAAGATGATTGTGTAGTTGCAAGGAACATAACATCCACAAATATGTTGACAAGATAACAATTGGTCTATTTGTTTCTGCTGTACCTGACACATTTGTGGAATTATCTCAAACCTTGTGGTAAATTCTAATTTCTTGTTTTCAGCAAAAGTTCAGCAGGCCGAGTGACCCTGGGAAAAAGGTGGTATAGCTCAACGGGCTTTATTTGGGAAATAATCTTATGAACTTGATGAAAATAGCAGTAACTGCCACATTTCTCAAAAATAACAACCAAAGATTTACCAACAATTCATTTTTGGATTAAATCATTTGTTTAATGAAATATATAATGAATCCTGTATTAACGAAATAGACGTAAGAAGGTGTTTGGCAGGGGTAATGGTTACATGATGTGTCAAGTCAGAAGCTCGTGGCCCTATGAGTGGTGGCCATTGCTCACTGGTTACCTGTTTAGGAGCACTCAGCCGAGCTGTAAACATTCAACTTTACCGTGACAACATAAAGGCTCAATAAGGAACAAAACAACCTCCGCTCACTTCCATTGCCAGATGATGCAGCCTCAAGGTATAGTGATCACCTTACAGACTCTAGATTCGGGATTGTTTTTTACATTCAATTTACAATGGAACATTCGATTATGATCCTGACCAGGATTTGAAATCTCGACCCAAAAATTGTCATTCTAGGTGAAATGCAGAAACTGTAGCACGTGGGGCCCTGATTCTCACATTGTCAAAAGCTAAATTTGGAGGTGGCCATTTGATTCCGTGGCCGACATTGCCGAGGTCCCCTGACATTCAAACCCGGGCAGTTTATTCCAAATTGAGTCCGAATAAACTGTGTTCTCAAATTCAGCGAGATGATGCCATCTCATCGGTCGCTTACATTAAACTTGGCTTTTCAGTTAATTTGGCAAAATTTTAGCAGTGACAATTTAAAAGATACATTTCGGTTTCACTGCCATGTGACGAAGGTCTCTGCAGCAGGGTGCACGTGGATGTGCAGCACGCCTCGTGTGGATAAGAGGCCACTTGAAGGGATGTCGGAAGAAGTTCTGTGATATCTCCTTCGACGGGCCGTTTTCTAACACGGGGTGATGCGTTGCTCTGCGGCACAACTCCGAATGGACATTTGTTCGTCACGTGACATGGCACTGTAGCACAATCGGAATTAAATGAAAGAAGGCATCAATTGCCTCTTGATGTTCAAGATGTTAATGCATTTGACCAAATCACCCAGAATATGCCAAATTTCGTCAGATCTCGGAAGCTAAGCATGGTTGAGCCATGGATCGTGCTTCGATGGCGACCAACACCTTGCACAACAGGTGTTATAGGCGGCTGCGAGGGCTACGTCGTCAGCATGGGGAAGTGCAGCAAAACCCATTGTTGTACTGTACTATGCTCCAACGTCTATGCTCCCAACTTTCACTGACCAACTTGGTGAAGTATGGTCAAACAACCCTGAAGAGCAGTCTGGCCTGGAGAGGCGCTTGTGCATCATCAATACCACACCTCCCGAGACACAGAAGAAGGGCCCCATGTTGAGCTTCTGCAAGCACCCTCGCTCACGTCCAGCGTTGTCGTCTAAGATAAGCAAACACTGAACAAGAGTTGTCGACTACGAGGCTGTATATTTAAGGCATCATTGAGCAGAGCAGCAGGGTAGTGCTATTTGTGGCGGTGGGCGTTTGCGGAGTGTATGATGTTCTTCATGGTTGTGTAAAACCAACATTGCTGTTTTACTTCTCATGATCAAGTACAGTTTTATGAAACGCACTCCGAACCACTTTCATCCACCTCATAATTTCATCGTTTTAATCCCGGTCCACCATCAATTAACATCTCGGTGATGAGATGTTAAATCCCTTGCCTGGTATACAGGAGATCGTGGGTTAGATCCCGACCCTGACGTCTGTATATTTGGAGTTTGCGTGTTCTCCTCGTGGTAGCGTGGATTTTTCTTCGGCTCCTCTGGTTTTCCCCTGCACATTTAGAATCAACATGCGTTTACAGTATTTGACTGATATACATTTTTACGTGATAAGCAACTTAATTGAGCTATTCCTTGTGGCCAGGTCGCTACTGAAAAAGAGCTGTGAAAGCTCAATGGATCTTACCTGTGTAAAATAAAAAAATTGACAAAATTTGTCTGTCCCAGGCGCCTAGATTCTGCTGTTGTTTTCCTCTCCAGTTGTACCCCTGCCACATATATCTCCAGATTTGTACGACAAATTCGCAATACAGAAATTAACAAAGATTTAACCCATGACCAAATATTTTACTGTTCGTAGAATGTTGACGTGCACTCAACCATTACAGCCCAAGGGACTCTTGTTCACACGAACAGGAATCATCCCAGTTGGTGGTGCATGCATTTGTCTTTGCATGTTTGTGTCTTTGCATGTATGGGCACAGTTGAATTCATATTAATATCGACTGTACTCTGTTGTCGGAAAATAAAGAGCGCAGATTCTTGTTAATTTCTTGTTTTCTCAAACTCTGATTGAAAAGCGCCGTTCAGCATCTGGAATTCCTATAGATAAGCACCTCAGTGATGTATAACAACAAGTAAAAAAAGCACGCAAGACGCTCATTCCCAGATGTGTCTCTCCACGTTTAAAAATAAAATAACTGTTTTTAACACATGCCACAACTCCACATTTCAGCAGCACTGGCTCAACACAAGCAAACTGTGGACTGGGTTTTGACTTTCAGCGTCTCATCAGCACTGGGGCTTGCTTGAACAGATATTGCCCTGCGAACTGCCAGATGTGGAAATTCAACGACCCTCTTATCTTAGATACGAGTCCTAGTACAATGAAACTGTATAACGCACGACACAAGCTAATCATGAGTGTCATGAACAAAGCAAGCAAAACACGCCGCATTCTTCCCATACTTGTCCCTGCACGTCAATAAAAGTCCGTCAACACAACTGGCTGCGAATATCAGGGGATGCGTTGTGGTGAATTAGACCAAGACGTCCATTGTGGGAACCCATAAATGTTGACATTCGACTCCACTGAAGATGATCATACGTGGCCGTCATGATGATGACAAAAGATGACAGATACTCTGAGGCGATTAGAGGCACGATTGACATGGGAAAAGCAGCACTCGGCAACAGAAGAATGCAGCTGACAAGATGAGTGAACTAACAATAGTTAGAGAAGAGACTGGTGAAGACCCTGCTACGGAGTGGAGTGTGGAGTGTAGCGTGCTATGGAGTCTAGTGTGGTATGATGCATAGTGTGGTATGGAGTATAGGGTGGTATGGAGTGCAGTGTGCTTCAGGAATGCGATGTGGAGTGGAGTATGGTATGCAGGGTCGTGTGGTATGGAGTATACAGTACTGTCGTGCGGTATGGAGTTGATTGTGGTATGGGGAGTGGAGTGTGGTGGCGTTGGAGGCAGCATCTTGGACACTGAGGAAGGTAGAAATGGGAATGGAACGTTTTGAGACGTGGGTTGTGGCGTCAGATGGAGAAAACCAGTTGGGTGGAGAGAAAGGGCTATTAGGAAGGGGCTGTTAAGAACGCCCAGACGTCGCATTAAAAACGTCCATAATAGAAGCTCGCCGCTATTCGACCGCCATTCCTCCTCCTACGCCTCTTCATTTTTCCCGCCAAAATATCGGGCGGGCGGGCACCACTCCCTCCGTTGGTTGTTGCCACGATGTCATTGTTCACGGTGTCATTGTTCACGATGTCATTGTTTACGGTGTCATTGTTCACGATGTCATTGTTCATGGTGTCATTGTTCACGATGTCATTGTTTACGGTGTCATTGTTCACGATGTCATTGTTCATGGTGTCATTGTTCACAATGTCATTGTTCACGGTGTCATTGTTCACGGTGTCATTGTTCATGGTGTCATTGTTCACGGTGTCATTGTTCACGATGTCATTGTTCACGATGTCATTGTTCACGGTGTCATTGTTCACGATGTCATTGTTCACGGTGTCATTGTTCACGATGCCATTGTTCACGGTGTCATTGTTCACGGTGTCATTGTTCACGGTGTCATTGTTCATGGTGTCATTGTTCACGGTGTCATTGTTCACGATGTCATTGTTCACGATGCCATTGTTCACGGTGTCATTGTTCACGGTGCCATTGTTCACGGTGCCATTGTTCACGATGCCATTGTTCACGATGCCATTGTTCACGATGTCATTGTTTACGATGCCATTGTTCACGATGCCATTGTTCACGGTGCCATTGTTCACGATATCATTGTTCACGATACCATTGTTCACGATGCCATTGTTCACGATGTCATTGTTCACGATGAAACGCGCTAAGTTCACGCAGCGCAGGCCTGCTAGGATCACTTATTTTGGTGCTATTACCCAAAACGTCGTGTATGATGTCTTTTTTTTAAAGGCCACACGGTGGCATTGACGTATTGTACAACGCGGTGAACTTATTTCGCACCGTACGTAGCCAACCGCGCTCATCGGAGGTGCGGGCACGAACGCGTTGAGGTTTTTATGATCATTTTCGATCATTGCAACGCCCATTTATAAAACACATGCTGTCCGTTGCACACTTAATTTATTAACTGAACCTTATGGCGGGACCCCGGGGTCCCGAATAAACGGAAGTCAAAATCGTAATTAATTCATTTATTTTTGGGGACTCCGTCCCACCGCGCACATAAACGCCGTGATCCACCTGGCGGAGATCCTTCTGTTGTCATTGTCGTCCACACTCAGCGAGAACGAATGCGCACAAGAGCTGACCAAGCGAATGCTGCACTCCATGCTCGGGTTTGGGCAGGATCATAAGTCTTATCCAAAGCTGCCCATACTGCCGACACGCTGCGGGCTCACACAAAATAGATTTTTCCAAGACGGAGGTGCTCTGCAAACCTACCGGCTACCTTCAGAGATTTGTTCATGAAGCCATCCAGATATATAAACACAGACACAACTTCAACCGAGAAGATGGGTACAAATTGAGCAATCATTGGAAGGACGTTATGAACCAGGTAAAGTCTTAACTGACTGTGATGTTTCCATCCTACTGCCTATGTCAGCTGTTATTTCCGACTCTCTGTGTGTGTCTCTCTCTCTATGCCTCTCTCTTAGACCTCTCATGCTCACATGTCCTTTGGATTGCACTCTCATACTCACATGCCCTTTGGATTGCACCAGTTGGGTTGCACTCATGCCTTTGGATTGCACCACTCTTAGATTTTACATTAACATACTAATCTCTCACATTAACATAGTCACTTCCGTGCCCTCTAATCTCTCACATTAACATACTAACCTCTCACATTAACATAGCCACTTCCGTGCCCTCGTCGAGGAGGCCGCTCTCCTATATTACCGTTACATGCTAATTTCTCACATTAACATCACTAGCCCCAGCCACTTCTTTACGACTTAAAAACTGTATTTGTCATTCTTTGGTTGTTTCGGTAAAGTCACGTATAAAGATAAAATAATAAATTAAATTAAATACTAGCATACGACGTTTCGATTGCAACACAAGCAATCATCATCAGGTATAAATTAAATAGAAACACAAATCTAGTCTACTTAGAAATGTAATGTAATACAACAGAGAGTCGGATAACATAACAGTCAACACCTACCTGGTTGATTACGTTCTTCCTGAGAATGCTAAATTTGAGAGAGAGATAAAACACAGAACCAGAGACATATAGACAGACATATAAGCAGACAGATATCACAGAGATACATAGAGAGAGAACAAACATAGGCACACAGAGAAACCCCGCCTCTGTGTCGAGGCCTTAAATAGAGAGAGGGGGGGCGGGGGCGGGGAGAGAGGGAGGGGTTAGAGAAATTAGCATGTCAATGAGTAGCACGATGAGTGGTACGGTGCGAAAGCTTGAAAAAATTAGGAGGCAGGGAGAGAGACACACTAAATTAAATAACCTAGCAAAATTTCGAAATGTAATGCAATGCAACACAGAGGGTCGGTCAACACACAATTAACGCATAGCCTGGTTGATTACGTTCTTCCAAAGATTGCTAAATTAGAAGTTAAGTGTGAAATTTGAAAAAACAAGTCATAACGGTATGCATAATAAATTGAAATGCTCTCTTATCTTCATTATTATTTGTGACCTAACAATGTCTGCAGCCAGGATCAATCGATGACATCCTATTACCTGCAGATATTTAACAGATGAGATGCGTTGCACCGTTAATTCCTCCTGTTTGATAATACTTCTCTTGTCCGTATGCATCTGTGCAGATAGGTTTTTTCTGCGGTTAAGACATAGTCCCCACATACCGCTCTTACCAATGCGGATAAGAGGAGCGGCGACCCACTTGTTACAATATGAACAGCGCATTGAAAACGCGTACTATTTTATGTACTTCTTCTTGGTTCTTTCGGTAAAGTCATGTAGAAGAGAAGTAATAAAATAATAAAAATAAAACATAAAAAAATCTATTTATTTTATTATTTTATTGTTTTATTTTTATTATTTTATTACTTCCCTTCTACGTGACTTTACCGAAAGAACCAAAAAGATAAATCCCTGCAGTCACGAAAGCTTTAAATCGAAATTTATTTTATGTACTGTTCACAAAGTGTGTTCACAAATCCACACTGAGAAACACGATGATTGACAGAGGGGTGTCAATTATGTTTTCGATAGTGTAGTTAAATAGAGGTACTGCAGGTAAGTAGTTTTCAGTTCTAAAAGCATAGTTTAACAAGACAACACTTGCCACCATCCTTCAAACCCATTGGTGAAAAAGAGCAACGTTTTTGTTTACATTATAATATAATGTTTACATTATAATATAATGTTTATGCTTATGGGACCCCTGGGTCCCGCCATAAGGTTCAAATTCGTAAAATATGTAAAAACCCTAGAAATTACTACTTGTTTTTCATCTGTTGTCAGAAAAAAATTGTAATCACATAAGCAATCAAAATCATGATATGAAATTTTGAAAATTCCACGAAACAATTAGCGCCAGTGGCGTCGTAACGACATTGTTGGCTCAGGGGAGGTGCGGCAGTCGGTGAGGTGGGACCCCAATAATCGATGTGTCTCGCACGGTCGCACCCTCGAGGCTGCGAGAGACCGCGGCTCCGCTTTGGCTGATCACGTGCTCGCTGTCCTCACGGTCGCGAACACTTCACGCGGCAGGGGCGCGCTCCGTCTTCGCGACATGCAGCCACGACAGCTCCGTAGTTACCCACTTTGCAATCTAATTGGCGCGTATATAATGAAATAAATATATCAAAACAGAGGGGAAGGAGGCAGGGATGGCCCACTTTTTATTATTATGGTAAGGTGCGGTTTGAGACTATGAATAGACTGCATAACAAAAGACTGAGCCTTTTATGGAGAGGTTCGGTTTGTGACTACGCCTAGCCTACACAATAAAAGTGTGAAAAAAGAAAGCTAAACCTGGTAGAAAGCTAAACCTGGTGAAACAACTGGCTGTCCATCAGTAACCTGCATTAGTTTTCTGTCAAATAAGATGGTTCAAATAAGTGTAGTTAAATCTTTTTTGCATGGTTAATCACATCTTTCCAATGATTAAAGGTGCGGCTTGAGACTATGAATAGACTGCATAACAGACTGAGCCTTTATTATGGAGAGGTTCGGTTTGTGACTACGCCTGGCCTGCATAACAAAAGTGTGAAAAAAGAAAGCTTAACCTGGTAGAAAGCTAAACATGGTAAAACAAAACTGGCTGTCTATCAGTAACCTGTAATAGTTTTCTGTCAAATAAGATGGTCCAAATAAGTGTAGTTAAATCTTTTTTGCATGGTTAATCACATCTTTCCAATGATTACTCAGTTTGTATATACAAACAGACATAATTTCAACCATTATATATACGGAGTGGTATCTCCTGTAATCTCTCATTTACTTGATACAGCTGTCGGGCTGTGACAGTTCCACCTGAAGACGGAAGCTTGTGTTGCCTCCGAAACGTCGTGATTTTTATTTTATTTTACTTTTATTAATTTTAATGTTTTACCTACGTGACTTTACCGAAAAAACCTAAGAATATGAATCCTTGCAGTCACGAAAGCTTCAAATCTAGAAATATCAAAACAGAGTTTTATGTCCAATGTTTATTTTACTAAAGTTACTGTAATTCAAAGCAAATTATTTTCAAAGCAAAAGTGTTCATAAAAAATATATTTAAACCGCGTTTTAAATAGTTTATGTTATGTTCAACTATTGTTGAAAACAAACCTCATTGTGGTTGTCAAGGGGAGGCCCCAACTCGTAGCTTTGGCCACCAGGAGGGGAGGCAAGGCACCCCCTGCCCCCACGCGAGTTAAGGCTGATGATGATTATCGCTGATCATACCTTACACTAATTATATATCGCACTATCCCCACGTGGCGGCAACCCTAAAGTTGCACAAAGATCCCGCGTGTCGCCTCCGACAGACTGGCGCTCTGACGTCATAGTTACACGATGAGTTTTCATTCCGTGAGCTCAACGGTAGCAAATCCTTCCAATACCTTCATCATTAACATCCATGATCAAACCACTGCTGAGTCGACGCCTTCCCCAATGTCGACGCCAACCCCCACGGTCTGTGATGCGGCACACAAACAAGCTGGTCTCATCGCTCCATCTCCGCGCGTGGCCTCTCTTTGCTGCCATGCCATCATCACCAGTCTCGACTCTCAGACATCATCAACCTTCCCAGCGGTGTGTCCTGCCGACGTCCAGTCCACTTCATTTCCTCAACAGAGCAATTCGATGTAAAATGTAAATTGCTTCGGTCTCAGATCCGTGTGTTTTTGTCTTACATTGTAATTCCCAGCATGCATCTCTCCACGATTATGTAAATATTTGAGCTTTTCTTCCATTTTATTTTTAACTATTCTGCTTTCCGACCCATGTGCCTTAGCAGGAAAGATTCCAAAGAAGAAATATGGACTCCGATTGAAAATTTCTGAATCTATAGCGCTGTAATGTATTCCTCGATTAACCCGGTCATTGTTTTCCCTGCGGTACAGCTGAAGCCAGGTCCACACACCTATTGCGCAACTTGGTTGTGTGCAATTGAATCTGGTACGTGTGGACGTCTTCGCAACCGGTTGCAATCAGTTGCACAACCGAGTCAGGTTGCCGACACGTTCTTTGAAGCAACGAACTTCGAATCGAGTTCTGAGTAACGCGTTTGCAACCACTTAACAATCCTGAACGTGCCGCTGTTACATTTCCTGCTTTGCGCTCGGACGTGGTGGACAAAGCAGTCGCTCGCACGCGGCCACGACGATGTCGACGAGTTGCGATGACCGATCGCGTTCATGTGTGGCCCAGGCTGCTCGGGGTTTGCGCGTCACAAGGGGCCCGCGGTGACGCACGCCACAGAGACGATGACGACAACAACAGCCCCGATGACGTCACGCTGGTGTAATTGCCAAAATAAATTTTTATTTCTCGCGTGCAATTAACATGTAAGCACCAGGTATGTACAACTCGCGTCGTCTATCAAACATCGCCTTCCCCCGGCGGGCGAGGGTGAGGGGGTGGGGGGAGAGATTTCTCCAAACTTTTTTTTTGTCGTTGTAATGTTGCAACCGCTTTTAATTGTTTTTTTGTTTTTAAATGTGAGTTTACATAAATATATTAGTAAATAAATATCTCATAACAACATCTCTAAATATTTTCTGTTTGACATTATAAAGAATAGGCACGTACAGAGAATGTGATAAAAAACTCAACTGACTTTTTTTTGCTTTTTGTGTTCGCTCATTTTGAACGCAAACCATACGTCAAAGCGCCTGGGACCCAGCAGGCAGGAGATAGCTTCGTAGAATAGCTGTGGATAGAGCATGGAAGTGGTGGTGGTGATGGATAGATGCCTCGCAAAAGTGAAGTTGGATGGGAGGTGAACCGACAGATAGTGGTTGAGAAAGGCATGAGGGGGGGGGGGGCTGGATGCGATCCTGAATTAACCACTCTTAAAACAACAATAGCTGCTTTATATATATATATTGTACACGTATAAAACCACTTCTTAAAACTCTGGCTTTGACGTTTTGCTATTCTACTGCTCGAATGGAAATATGCAAAAGCCACGTCATCATGTTCCTCTTTGCGATGCACCCGCGACGCGTTCGAGCACGACCCGAGATGACGTTCAACTTTTCTCCGCAACCGACGATCATCGTCGTTGTCGTCGTCACGATCATCATCAGCAGCAGCAATAACAACAAGTAACAAAACAGTAACTTCGACAAGAGCGGCTTGGCTCACGAAGGGTCGCGTCTCGCATCGCCACCGAGCCAACGAGGCCACGTCCAAACCCCCGAGAGGCTTCCCCAGACGTGAAGGGGCAGCCCCTGCAATGCCTCGCTGCGGCCGCTGCTGGCGGAACGGTCTCCACCGGAGGGAGCCCCACCTCGAGCCCTTCGCCCCACACCACACGTGACCTACCTATCGGCTGTGGTTAAAAACCCACGTCTGCTGCTAGTTGGATGGACAGAGGGCAGGGGGGATGGGGAAGGATTTAAACTTTCCAATTATTTGAACTGCCGCACCGGGAGAAAGAACTCTGGATTGCAAGTCCAGTGTGCTAACCATTACATCACGCAGCGCCCTCAAAAACGTAAAATGCAGTACAATATATACACACACATATATATATATAAAAACATAGAGATGTGAAGGAGATGCGTGGCAGCGACACGCGATGGTAGAGGATGGCCCAAAGCGGCACTCGACGCGTGCTCATGCTCGCAGTTGCACGGCACAATTCAACGTTGTCCGGACCGTGACCTCACATCCCAGCAACGAATCATCTCAAGTGCGATCCTCCTTGCAAAAGATATAACACGTGCGATCTTGGATCGTTCGAGGGTGGTTTTCAACACTCTCTCCATGCGGAGCACACGGACCCAGAGAGCCGATGAACGGACCGAAAGCAGAGAGCGTTGAGGATCACGAAAGGTATTTCACTGCGAAGGGTTTAGCGGCTGTGATGTGTATCCTCTCCGATGGGATTCCGCTTGGTACGTGTTCTGCATGATGTCCGACGTTTCACTTCAACGTGCCGAGCTTTTTTCTCGACTCCGTTCCTGAATAAGCTCCCAGCACGTGCAGCAAAACGTCAGACTTCATGTACAACCCCAACACACACAGACGCATCGGAGAGGCATAACGTATTTTGTTGGCAATGCATTCGCTGCGAAGGTGAACCACACACGCAACGTGCGGCACCTCGTCGGGGGTCTCCCGTCACAAAGAACGAGACGCCGAAGCCACGAGGGATCCGTGGCATCCGAGCTCAAGAGCGTGCAGCGTCAAGCCCCCTGGCTCCGATGAGGCGCTCACTTCGCGTCGCCGCTGCTGCCTGGGAGCGTGCGTGCTGTTGCGTGTGGGGGGAATGCATTTAAGAGTATTCGGCTGCTGTGCTCTTCCACACGACGATAAGCCACTGTTTGTTCCGCTATCATAAAAAAAGAGCTATATAGCTCTGGGCCTTACCTGGTAAAATAAAAAAAATTGTAGTTTAAATGTTGATGCTTTTACTTCGTTGAAAATGTATTAAACTTCTCGCAGTGTGGACCAGGTTGTACTTTTGAGCGTTTGAGGTGGGTTAATGTAAACATGTTTGCGCACATTTACAATCAAATTAAATATCTTATGGGAGAATGAAGCACTTGATGTAAGCTCACCTACAGAGATGGCAGACAAAGATAAATATCCCCCGTATAGTCTCAACATAATTTTTGGGGCAAGTGCTTTTAGCGAGCAGCCTATGAAGGCCGGGCACGGCCTTCATAGGCTGCTCGCTAGAACCACGGCCGGCCGCCTTTGTCTCCCGAGTGGCGATGTTTTCACACCGCATCAGGTACAAATATGGAACACACACACAGACAGAGACAAACAACAGGTGGGCAGATATACACAGACACAACAGGTAAGAAGATGCACACACACACGTATCGATACAGGAGGACTCGCAAGACACACACACGCGCGCAGATATGTCAGCGTCTCTCTCGCTCGACCCAGCTGATATTTTTTCTCTCTGTGATCCACACCCTGACCCCAGACCAACAAATCCCTGGTTCGCATCCCTTAACTGGTTCGCATCCCTTAACTTCACCCGCTTCAGCCGATTCGCAACGCTGCCAAGTCCGTGGAACTTTTGGCGGTGCCCTGGTGGATGGATAGCCGAGGGAGGGAATGGTTATCAAGTAGCTTGGTGGTAACTGATGTTTGTGCTCGTGTTTATTCACCAGGGCAAGATTGATGTGGTCTAGGTGTTTTAGCCAGTCATGGCGTGTCGAAGCAACGTAGTTAAAATTTTGGGTGAAACAAATAAAAATAACATTTTTATTTACAACCAGCTACACCCCCCCCCCACCTAGCAGTTCCTTTTGCAAGGATGAGCCACACAGCAGCACAGAGGGTCGTTATTATTACAGAATTGTCAGAACCGATAACGACAATAACACGAATTCACGATCATCGGTAATCATCTTGAAACTGTGAAATTTGCGACAAGACAGCAACTTGGAAAATAACGCCCCGTCAGACGACGGTCACGGCATCTTGGGTTGGCTTCGCAGGACGACGACGATGATGGCGATGGCAGGAGTACGAATGCTCTTAATTCGGTCCTGTAGTACTGTACCAAGCAGAAGCAGGGCCCGGAGTTCTGTGGCAATGGTGGAAAGCCAGCAAATGGTGCACCGCTTCTCCGAGCCACGGAATGGAAATATCTCCCAGGACACGGCCATTGTTCACACAACCCTTTAGCCGCACAACACGTGAACATTACGGCTCTTTAGTCGCACAACACGTGGCATCACGGCCCTTTAGCCGTACAACACGTGACGTCACGGCCCTCGAGCCGCATACCACGTGGCATCAAGCTGTCGCGTCGGCAAACTCACTCGTGAAATAACGGGGCCATTTTAAAACCATTCAATTTGTTTTACCACCCCGTAGATTTTTCGCGGTTGTGCCGTTCAGCTCTCCGATGAGATCTCGCGTTGTGGCTCGTGAATTTCGGCGCGATGTCCGACGTTTCACGCCGCATACTGGGGGTTAGCTTCTTGTGCAGAAACCGTTGTTACCGGAATTCTGTTCCTGAAGAAGCTCCCAGGATGCGGAGCGAAACGTCGGACACAGGTGCTTGAACAACGCGCGGTACGACCGGAAAACGAGGTTTGTTTTAACACTTGCGAAAAGGAGAGATCTCGACGTTTCGGCTGAATGCCCTTCTTCAGGAAATATGAAGGTCGGCCGGCAGAAAAGTCGAGACCTCCCTTGCCCCTCTTTGTGACAATAAAATTAACAAAAACTGATTATTTATTTTTTGAAATTAACATTTAAACAGGTCACGTCAAAGCGTGGCTTCTGCCCACATGCCAAGCGCTGCACCTGACAGCACGTCGCTGCCGTCCCGGCTCGCCGCTTTCTGCGCGAGTCGCAATCGTTTCGCGAGCATTTTGCGCAATCGTTACGTTTCGGCTCTACGCCGAAATTCGTCGTCACGCGGTGCCGGGACATTGCCTCCTCTGCGTCTGCGCCACCACCGCCACCGACTCCCGCAGTCCGGGACAGGCTACCGAACACTTGACTCTCCCCGAGAACGCTGCAGGACCAGCAAGCTACGCGGGAATCACAATGGCCTGGCTTTAAATTAACAATTAAATTAACATTTTTTTGTACACGACGAGAGAAATAAAAATAAACAAATAAATAAAAACCGAACCACTTTAAATATTACAGCCAAGGTTGGTTTTGTTTGTCGTCTTGTGAATCGGTGGAGGCCGCCCGCGATAGCGCGCGAGCTGCGACGTACAAAATGAAAACTTTCAATCGAAAGCGTCACCTGCGGCTGCTTCTGAATTGCCAGGGCAGGCGAGTGCTGGGCCATTGGCCTGAATGGTGAGAGAGTGAAAGAGGGCGACAGTTCACAGGCCAGGGCAGACATGGATGCCGACGAACGTAGCGACACTTTAGGGGCCAATACGAGCGAGTTATCAGGTGGTTCAGCGGTGGAGCGAGCGACTCGCAATCAGAAGGTCGCGAGTTCACATTCCGGCAGGGGGTCGACTCAGCATGCCTCCGCGGGCTGATACATTGTGGGGAAGTCGAGAGTGGTTGTCCTATGGATAGACTCACCCCTGCACGCTAGGAATGTGGAATTTAACGCAGCTTGGCTCGAGTTGTAAACGAGGAGGAGAGCACCGAGGTCTCGATGCTTTGTTTTGACTCATCGCGACTCACTGGCGTTGGCCATGTACGGAAATTGGAACCCACAAAAGTGACGCCAGCTCTGGTACCGACAATTGAAACGTCTGCTCTGGGCTCGTGGAGTTGCGGCGAGTGAGCGAGGCGGCTCACATCGGTGTGTGCGTGCAAACACACCGATAGGTAGCACGACGCTCCATCACCCTTGCGCACGTGCTACAATCGACAAACGCAAGGGCACAATCTTCGTTTTGCGCACACCCAGTGGCGTGTTTATAAATTAAGGACTTTCAACATGAACCGGGGTTAGGGAATCATTTAAATAACGAGAGCTTTGCATCAACGCGGGATCGCACCACGTCGATGGCCAGATGTGGTTGAGCGTTCGGTTAAATATGGGGAGTGGCAGCGTGGTGGCTCGCGGCACCACACTACGGACCCGGCGCCCCCGGGTTGGATTCCCAGCCATGGCTAACATCAGTCGCGAGCGATATCTGAACCGGCCGTGGGTCTACCCGCCTATCGATCTACAGTATTGCCAGCTCGAGCTGACAAGTGTGAAGTATGGACAAACAACCCCCATAACCGACACGGCGTGGGGAGGCCTTCATCCAGCAGTGGCTTTACAAAAGGGCTGAAAATTATTTGTTATTAAGTTAAATATTCACTGAGTAGTACCATTGCTTAATCTCTTTTTAAATTTGCGAGGCATTAGCTGAGGTCAATGGTGGCATGTGGCTTCAGGTTCAGGGAACAACAAAGTCCACCTCCGGCCTCCTCGTCTCAGGTCGACTAATTGAGAAACTGGAACGCGCTGGCAGTGGCTTCATCATCAGCGCTGCCCATGCAGCTTCTCAGGGGAATGGCTCTGGTGCAGCCCAGCACCGGTGCAGCAGAATCATCATCGCTGCTACAATTCTCGTCACCATGGCCACTGGTGCAGCAGGACCATCACCAGCATCGCTACCACCAGCATCACGCGTTGCCTGCACCGGTCACCAAAAGCTCGCAAAGCTGAGATGGAGTTCGCAGCCAACTCAACACGCGAGCCACGCAATTGCCAATGGGGAGGGGAGTGGAAAGGTACTGGAGAGGTTTCGAGGCAGTTACGTGGCGACCTGCACAATGGTATCAGAGGGCGAGTGGCTGCGGTGGTTATGATTGGCGATTTGCGGTTACGCTTTGAGGGGCTAACGGACTACACTTTGCAGACAGGAAGTTCCTGCTCGGGATGTGTGGCCAATTAATTATCGAGTATCTTTCGTGCTTGCAAGGGAACAGGAGTACCTGGGGAAACCCCATGCGTTTTGAGGTAAAAACACCAAAAGTACAACAGTGCCGTTAACCCATTTACTGCGCTTCCTCCTTCGTCCAACAACTCACGCGGGACAGCTGGGATGAGGAAAGGTGTCGCCGCCGTCAACCAAAGTCGTGGCGCAGCGATTTAACGACGGCACACGCGGGGAAGGTTCAAATCGACCAACTGGAAAGCAGAGGTGACCTGTAACAACAAACCATTCGGCAGTGCTGGGCTGTCAGCTGAGCAGGTGCATCTTGAGCAGCCGCATGAACCTCATTGCATTCCTAGTCGGGGATGGATCCACTGCTGCTGCATCACGGCTATTCACTGAACGGCGGCGGCGGCGCGTGTCTCGCTTCAAACCAGAAAACAAGAGGTGGAAATTTGTGGACTTATTCAAATTGAGGCCAAGAGGTGCTCTCTGGGTGGGGGGGGGGGGGGGGGGGGGTCTGGTTTAGGTTGCGGCCAGGGCACCTGCAGGATCACTCAAAGAGAGGGCATCGAGCCTTGTTGTTCAGCTAATGGTGGACAAATAACTGGTGACCAATTTAGTTCAGTACATTCACAATAATGACATCTTCTTGCAATAAATAACACAACCGTTTTCGTGTATTATAACAATAATAATGTATATATACACACACACACACGTCTAACAACATTTGTTTGCAGTCTCTTATTCCGATGCGCTCCGCTTGGGCGCACGTGACGATCACCGCCGGGGTGGTAACTCGCTCCACAGCACCGGATGTGGCGGCGGTGCCTCGGGAGGGGGGGGGGTGGGTTGCTCGGTGGTGACGTTCGCATGCGGGGCGACAGAGACGGCAACGACGACGATGTAAGTGGAATCGTTTAAGTGCTCGGAGGGACGCGTCCGTCGCGTGGGCCACAACCGCCGCTGCTGCCGCCACCGCGCACCTCTCCCACGCACCGTCTTCCGCCGCAATTCGTGTTCTCGGACGCGGACGCAACACGACATCGCCCCCCCGTGCGCACGGTTTTAAAGTTGCCAGGCAAAACGAAAAAAAGAATGTAACGGTGATATTATTCTTAAACTAGAATGACTTTTGCTGAAATTAAATAAAAAGGACCTATTTTGTTTCAGACCTCTCAGTTGCGTCCTCCGCGTTGCATTTTTTTGCTTCAATTCCCTTGCTGAGAGCGGTCGCCTCAAAAGTTCAAAACCAACGGAAGATGACGCAGTTTGCCCGCGGCTCACGCCGTGGAGGGCGGCTGTGTGCAGAAAATAAAAACAACGCGACCAAAAGAACGAAATGAGACGTGACACTGAGTTGAGAGGTAAACTGTGAGCAGGAATCAAATGGTCGCGGGGCAAGGTAGTGGACACGAATCCTGAAGCGTACAGTTCGTGCGGCGCTCCGCACAGTCACATCCTCCGCTCTCTCGCTCTCTCCTGCAGGCGTCGGCGTCTCCGTGAACACGCCCCCGGCGGTTTGAGAGGAGAACTGTCGAGGAGTTCCTCCAGCGCCAGCAATGGTCACGTGGTTACTTTCCAGTTGCTATGGGTCCACTGGAGTTACGAACAACAATAATAATAATAATCACAATAATTGTTGCACTTACACTGGTTTGTAGCTTACTGCTGGTTAGAAAAAAACGACACTTTGAGGAGAAGGACGCTTGCGAGCGGACGAGGGGATGAGATGGGGCGGGAAGGGCCGAGTCTTGAAGAATCTGAACGACGACGCGGATGCCACCCAACCCCGCGTGCGTGTGTACGGCGGTCACACCAAGGTGGCGAGCGGGGAGTGAATTTCGTCCGAGTCTCGCTCCATCGAGGACGTCGCGTGACCGAGGCCTGCTGGGGCGAGAGCCAAAAGGAGGCAAACGTGACACACGGAACGCAACGGCAAAAAACCGCCGGCAAGTCCGGGCGAGAAAACCCTCGTCCGCAATCTGCGACGAGGCTCTGCCATGGGGTACGGCGCTTGACTCGCAGCCTTGACGTTTAAACGGTCCCTCGAGCCACGACCTCGCACGCACGCGCCTCACCTGTCAGCCTCTCCGAGTTGCCCGCCAGGAGCGGCGCGGCGCTCTCCCACCGCTCCCCCGCAGGGCCCCCCTCCTTTGCGTGTCTCGTCCGGCTCGAGTCAGACCTGCTCAAGAGTCTCTCTCCGGCTTCGCGCCCCTTCCCAGAATGCCTCCTGAGGGCCGACCTGCTCAGCGACGGCGACGCGGTCGGCCGCCCGCCGCCGCCGCCGCCGGAGTCTCGCTCCTGATGCCGGGCGCGACTGCCGGCCGCTGCCCCCGTGGCCCTGGCCGAGCCCGGGCATGCCTGGGCGCCGGCGCCGTGGCAACGCCGGCCCACGGTGGCGGCACCGCCGGGGAGTCCCTTGCCATCGCGGCAGCCGAGGCAAACCTCCAGGAGCCGAGTGCCGCCGGCAGGGAGGTGATCACCGATCTGGACCCTGGCGCCGTGGCGGAAGCAGCTGGGCAGCGTCACGTGCTGCGGCGCGGACGGAGGAGGACGCGGAGGAAGAGGACACGGAGGAGACGAGCGACATTCGCATTCTACTTTTGCGGCCTCGGATCGCGAGAGTTCTGTGGCGCTGCCGCGAGCGCCGAGCGCGCCGGGGCAAGCGCACCGAGCGCCATCGTCGCACGCCCCTTTGCAGTCCCGCATGCCGAGCGACGCCCGTGCCAAATCCACCGCACAATTGCGGCAACCCCGAGCCTCGGCCGCCGGGGCTGCCTGCGAGCACCGACGCGGCTCGCCGCCGGCGGGGCCGCGTGGCGGGCACGGTGCAGGCGGGGCGGCGTCTGTCCTGGGACGCCGGTGCCCGCAGGCGCCGGCACTGCCGCCCGTGTTGGTGAAGCTGACGGAGCAGCTCTCCGTGTCCATGTGCATCTCGGCCGAGCCGCGGCAGTGCGACGCCTGCAACTGCAGCAGCGACGACGAGGACGACGAAGACGACAGGGCCGGGTGGGCGGCCCGGCTCCTCTCGGCCGCCGGGGTCGCCGCCTTCGGCGTACCGGCCGCCGCCGCCGCCGTCACCGCCGTCGCCGTCGGCGGCGCCGCCAGTTCCGGCTCGGAGGCGGCACCCGTCTCCCCCGTGCTGCCGCTACCGCCGCCACTGCCGCCACCCCCACCGCGGTAAACGTAGGGGTCGAAGTCGCTGCTGAGCGAGCTGCGCACCGTCGACTGGCTCCCGTAGACGCCGCGCCGGCTGTTGGCATCGTTGGCAGAGTCGAAGAGCGCCGAATCGTCGCTCGCGGTGCCGTCCGCCGCGTAGCCGCTGAACGAGCTATGGTCGCCCCGGCGGCCGCTCTCGCCGGAGCTGTTGCTGTTGTGCCGGTAGTGCTGATGCTGCTGCGGCTGATGCTGCTGCAGCTGCTGCGGCTGGTGCTGGGGGTGAGAAAGGCCGCCGCCACCGCTACCACCGCCGTGATGCCTCGGCGGCACGTGGTGATGGTGCAGGTGGTGGTGGTAATGCAGGTGCGATAGTTCCCAGCGGCTTTGCTGCTGCTGAGCGCTCGGTTGGTGGCCCGGGAGGGGCGCGCCGCCCCCGCCGCCCTGCGTTTCGGCGGGCGCTTGGCCGCTGTGCTGCACCAGCGTGTGCGTGCCCCGGCGCTGCCCGTAAGTGTACCAGTGTCTGTGCGTCTCCTCCCAGTACGTGTAGTACTCGGCGCCGTGCACGTCGCCTCCTGCAATGGCAAAAAGTGGCATGGGTGAGTTCGCCATCCGTCCGTCCGTCCGTGTAACCGCACGACGTTAATGACGGGGGGGGGGGGGGGGGGGGCACGCCGCATGTACCTGACACCGGCGGGAATGCGTGGCGAGAAAATCTCTGCGCCTCCGCGCCTCCGTACGCCCGGGGCGGCGCAAACCCCGGCCCCCGCTCCGCCGCCTCCAACCGCTCCTCGGGCCGCTCCCTCTCGACGCCGCCGCCACCACCCGCACCGTCGACGGGCGCCACCACTGCTCCGCCTTCTCCCCGCGCCGCCCCGGCCGTCCCGACCGCGACCGCCGCGGCCGCCGCGGTGGCGGCCCTCTCCACGCCGAAGTAGAGCGGGTGGTGGTGGTGGTGATGGCGCTGAGACGACCTCGCGAACCGCCCGGCCGCCGCCACGGCGTGGTGCGGCTGGCCGTAGCGGCCGCGCTGCTGCTGCGTCGACAGAGGCGGCGGCGGCGCCCGCGGGTCCGACGTGGGCACCCAGCGAGCCCGGCCGGGGTACGGGGGCGGCACGCCGACGGCGGCGGACGAGGAGGACGCGGGAGCGCCGCCGCCCCCGCCGTTGCCGATGCCGCCGGGGTTGGCGAGGCCGGCAGGGTTGGCGAGGCGGCCCGAGTGGTGCTGCTGCTGCGGGCCGCCCGACGTCCGCAGGGGCCGCGACTCGAGGCAGGGGATGCCGGCGGGCGGCGAGTGCAGCGCTTCTGCAGAGGAGCAGCAGCGGAGCGGCGTGACCGCGAGCACGCGAACGCGTGGACAGGTGCGACGGAGAGTGCGCATGGGAGGAGCGGTGGCAGAGTGGGTGGCTTGCCGCACTTGGAATCCGGTTTGATTATTCCTCGGAGCCAACAGCAATCAGAACTAGTCCTGGGCCACCCCAAGGTGGACTCAGCCTCAAATGAGTAACTGTTACGGTGTGTAAACATCGCCACTGGGGAGACAAAGGCAGTGGGGCGTGGTGCTGGCCACCCACCCCCTCGTGTGCCGTGCCGGCCTTCATAGGTGCTTGCTAACAGCACTTGCCTCTACAGTCTGTTAGGGCTATACAGAGGATCTTCGTGTTTGCATGCGCGATTGGGTGTATGCGTGCATGCACGTGGGTGTGAGCACGTGCGTGCGTTCGCACCTGTGATGTTGAACATGCACAGGGGGCACGTGTGGTGCTGCACGAGCCAGGGGTCCACGCACTCGCGGTGGAACTCGTGGGAGCACGGTACCACCCGCAGCTCCTGCGCAAAACCAACGGAGGTCGTTGTTGTTGTTATTGTCGCGACGGTGAGAATGCGTCACACGTTGCCATGGAGCCACCACCCCCTCCTCTACCACGACGGCGTCTTGGGGCGCTTCGCTCACGATCCGCAAATTGCATCTCATCTCAAACATATGAAAGGGCACCCCCCGTGGCAGCCGTCTCTGTGCGGCACAGGGTGACCAGGCGCCTGGCCTGCGAGCGGGAATTTAGTCTGCCGGCGGGGGCGATGACTGCTGCTGCTGCTCTGTGCCATCTCAATGGAGTCATTTGCGGTGTAATATTTGCAAATTTGGAAGATTTGGTCCGTGATGCCAAATGGCATCAGGGGGAACGTCCACTGCGAAGTGAAGCATTTTACAGTTCGTACGCCCGCTGTCATAACCAGGGTGGCCTGCCATATTTGAACCGCGAACAAACAAGCAGCGAACCCGTCTCCGCTGGGCCGCGCACGATGAAGCAAGTGCAGCGGAATGTGGGGCGAGACGAGCGAATCATGGGCCAAGGGACTCGGAGGAACTAGAGCAGACGGAGGAGACGCAGAGACAAAGACGGTTTGTTTACGGCTCACAGTCGTTATCGTGCAGAGGTCGAGTAGCAGTGGAAGGGATGAAACGGGCGATGAGTGCGATGGAGGCGTGAGGGGGTCAGGCCTACTCAGCAGAGAGAGAGAGGGGGGTGAGGGGGGGGGAGCGTGAGTGGGAGAATGAAAGGAAAGGTCACAGTTGGGGACGAGTGCGTGGTCAGAAAATAAAAAGGACAAAAGAAAAATGGCCGTGGGAGGCGGTGGCGGCTTTTCAGAAGGGGATAAGACCCCTCAGAGTAGGGGGATTTAAAACGATCGCATACTAATGTGAGCGCACACGGGTATGCGAGCTCACGCGCGCAACACACACGCACATGCGCGCACGCACAAAGCACGCGCGCGGACACACGCAGCTGGCTAGCGACGGTAATCGCAACAGCGTGTTGCGCGTCGAGGAACACGTCATCCGCACAAGAGGAATTCAAAGGAAAAGTTTTAAAGTGTAACGGGGCTGCATGCTTCCACCTAACTAGGCGTTTCAACGTTTCACCATTACCACCGACTCGTCACCTCCACGCATTGCACAGCCCAGCACACGCCGATTACGTGAGCACGGGATGGTCGGTGAGCATTTCACGAAGGACGTGCGCAGTTCCTAAACCAAACTTTACTTTTTATTTGACCAGTTAAAGGCCCACTGAGCTATGTAGCTATTTTTCAGAAGCGACCTGGCCACAAATGATAGCTCGACGAAGTGGTTTATCACGTGGAAATGTATAGCAGTCAAATACTCTAAACGCATGTTTCTAAATGTGGAAGGTAAAACCTCGAGAAAAATCCACGCGGCTATGGGGAGAGAGACTCCAAATATACAGGCGTCAGGGTCGAGATAGAATCCATACTGAGCGAGGTTAGTTAACATCTCACAACCATGGCACTCAACGTGCCTCGGCTTGAGTCGCGCGGAGCCGTGGAGCGTGCGGGTTGCTCACGGGTTGCTCGGGGGTTGCTAGAGGGTTGCTAGGGGGTTGCTAGAGGGTTGCTAGGGGGTTGCTAGAGGGTTGCTCGCAGGTTGCCACGAGGCGGCAGCCTGGCGATGCAACCAGCGGTGACACGCCGGCTCTCCTGACGGGACCCGGAAAGGCCGAAACCAGTCCAGAGTTTGCACACCTAAAACGAGCCCTGCCCATTGGCAACATGTTTGCGAGGCCGATCAGCCGACAGCATAAAGTTCTGTTTTAATTGTAAGCGGGGATATTACTAATAATGTTATATATTATTGAAGACGCTCCAGGTGGCCAATCAGTGAGGTTTTGCACAATTAGCCACAGATGAGCTTTTCCCGTCATCTCAGGAATGACCAATGAGGAGGGAGCACTTCCCAGTCTCAACACTCAGAGCATTCTGGGTGATTTAGTCAAACACAAATTCATGCTCACGTGGGCACAGAATTTGCACACATACAAAATGGCTGCCTGTGTCAGACCTTCACGACAGGGCCTGTGGCTGACCGCCACGCACTGCCGAGGCCCGGCGCGGCTAGAACCATCGCCGACAGGGATCACGTTGGCAGCGATCCACATGGACAGCGAAGACGAATGCAAGACGGTCGATTCAAACAAATCACGGGAAACCAGGCGACGCGTGCTGGAGAGGCGGCCGCTCTTACCTGGCCGTGCTGGAACTCCTCGAGGCACACGGCGCACACCGGGTCCGACGTGCTGCTCGCCCCCTCCGAGAGGTCGCCGGGGTCGAGGGGGGCTCCTCCGGTCGCCCCTCGGGCGCCCCCTCGCCCGCCGCCGGGGCCCCCACTGGGGCCCCCGCCCGATCCCCCGGCCCCCCCCACCGACTTGACATAGTGCCGGGTCTGGAGGCGGCTGATGACGCTGGCGCCCCGTCGTGACACGATGCTCTGCGCGTGGAGACACGACCCATGCGGTTGTTAACATCATCAGCAGCAGCATCTTTGCTTAATGTTTACACCGCTTAAGTATTTGGCTTTGACATTCCTCGAAGCCACTGGTGGAACCATCAACCACTTCGTCAGAACATCAGCAGCAGCCCGATGCGCACATGTCCTTCATGAATGCAAAATTAAAGACAAAGACGCAGTAGTACAGATTGATGCCATGCAGCCCAAACTATGGACTCGCACAGTAAACTACTGCAGTCTGTGTTCCTTTAATAGAGGAGGAGGAACAGCAAAACAACACAAACTCTCTCCGGAAGCCCTCTCGTCGTGGCCAGCAGGCCTCGACATTGGCATCGAGCTCCTGAATATATTGCCATCACACGCGAGAACAGAATTTACAGCGTGCCTCCCATGCAGCACACCCTGAGGTGCACTGCCGCCGCAGGGGACCCCCCGCTGGCAGCTGTCCCTGCGTGGCGCGAGGTGAACACAGCTTCGGCCAGCGAGCGTCGACCTACCAAACGCGTGATGTTGATTCTAAATGTGGAGGAAAAAACCAGAGGGCCCCGGGAAAAATCCACGTGACCACGAGGAGAGACAGACACGCAAACCTCCAAATGTACAGCAGGAGTCAGGGTCGGGATAGAATCCACGACCTTCTGTATACCAGGCGAGGTAGTTAACATCTCGCCACCGTGGCACCCGCACTATGCAGGCCACACCCAGCCTTAGCTACTGACATCTGATATTGGCCGCACTCCGGGAGTTTCGGTTAAAGGACGAAGCGTTAGCGCAGAGGCAACCTGCAAAACGCTCTACCACGCAGGTACGGCGAGCGTGCTGGATAGCGAGCTGTGGCCGGTGGATGCAGTGAAGAGACACAACTGATGGAGGCTCGGGTAAGTTGGAGTAGGAGACAGAGGATAGCAGCCATGGCAGAACGAATGGAGCTGCGTGAAGCCGGAGGAACGTAGGACGGCGATGCAGCATCACCACAATTCGATAACGTCTTTCAAGTGAAGATAAAATCATATTTTTTTAAAACATGTAAAAACAGTTTATGATATTATAATACATTTTCAAGGCCCAGTAATGATCTGACCAAATCTGTGTCGTCTAGACCCTCCACCACCTGACAGCCACACCAATGAACCGTGCCGTGTGCAGGCGTTTATCAGTGCGCCGGTGGTGACCGTTCAGCTCGCTCACCGCGCGAGCTGAACGCCGATCCTCATAGCCAAACTAAGCAATTGGCTATGCAGCGATTCGCTTGCAACAACGGCAAGCGCCACCAGGTCCTGTAAGTTAGAATCACAATCCAGGAAAGTCGCTGCACCGAGCAGCTGAAACGCAAGTCCCCGGTGCAGCCACAGCGCCGGCTCAACACGGCGCTCTGCCCCAACTCAACTCCCTCCCACCACCAGCACCACCACGTGGGCGCCACCGGAAGAGGAAGAGGAGGGAGCGGCTGCCTCATTGTGTGTGTAGGGAACCACGATTAGATGAACCTGTCCTGGGCCTCTCCTAGGTCGACTCTGCCTCAAATGAATACCCGGTGCGGTGTGTAAACAGTGCCTCTGGGGAGACAAAGGGGGCTGGGCGTGGTGCTGGCTGTATAACCCCCGTACCGGCCTTCATAGGTGCTCGTCTTTGTTTTTGTGTGCGTGTGTGCGCGTGTGTGCGTGTGTGCGTGCGTGCCGTGAGTTCCCGTGGAAGCTAGCGGAGCGGGAAAGAGGATGGGGGGAGGGGCTGGTACCTGGGCTCGGCGCTGCGTGAAACGCACGCGCAGCAGCAGCGCGATGCAGAGCGCGCAGATGAACGCCAGCACTGCGATAAGGATGCCCAGGTCCACGTCCTCGCGGCCCAGACGCGGCTGTGGGGGGGCGGGGGCACGGAGAGAGAGTGAGGGGGGGGCAGGGGGCGCGTCGTGCCGCTCCAACGTGGAATTCCCCTCCCATCGTCGTCTCTCTTCCCCAAGCTCTCATCACGGCAACCTTGCTCAAGCCAATCAAATGTGTCGAACTTTCTGGTCCGCCACGCATTCGATCGCGCCATTTGTCGCCGCCAGACGCTTACCGTTTTTGGGCCTTTCGGGAGCCCTGCGCTCAGCGACCGTGATTTTAACAACATGTTGCATGTTCATGCAACATGCGTGTTAGATTGGGCCAGAGAATACATCTTCATGAGTGTGGATCACTCAAAAATCGTCTTACACATTGGAGCATTCACCTGTCAAGAATCGCGATCAACACAGTGGTCATCAATCACCACGCATGATTAACACCTTGGATTATTTCATTAAGATACACACACACATAAAAGTGTACGTACATATACCCACATGAGACCAAATGCAGTAATTACAACAAAGCATTTTGAACGGGTGTGCAGCGGTGGCTCAGTGGTTACCGCACTGCAGACAAGAATCCGGCAACCCGAGTTGGATTCCCGTCCATGGCCAACGTCCCTAGCGAGTGATATCTCAAGCGGTCTTGGTACTTCACCTTTACCAACCCCCACCCGCCCCTAACCAGCGTGGTGAAGTATGGTCAAACATCCCCAAGCCCGACGTGCTGAAACGAAGGCCCCGCTGACACCACGTCGGCCGTGGGGACTGTTTGACCATACTTCACCACGCTGGTCAGGGCGGGTTCATGAAGGGGAGGTGCCCAGGACCGTTTCACAGTGCTGCTACTGCTCCCCCAAAATGATGAGGTAAAAAAAATAACACGCACAATTAATGAACTGAACATTAGATACAGATTAATATAAATTGTTCATCTTGCCATATACTGGTGACTATACAGCCACCCAACTCCCTACCAAGCCTTTTGGCCTTTTGGCCTGAACACCACCTCACTACCTCACCACCTACCCACCTACGCCTCCAATTACCCGCCTACCTACTCGTCCGCCAGGCCCGGCCACCGATCTGCACCGCTACCCACACCGTGCCCACGCCTCGCTCTCTCCGCACGCCGGGAACTTCCGCCAGGGACCGCTCCGCGGCGAAAAGTCGCGTCGAACAGCTCACGGCGATAAAACAACGCTGGCACTCCAGTTTCCCCGGCGCATCCCCCACCCTCCTCCCCCCTCCGCTGCCGCCGTCGCCACCCGCGCGCCTTCACCTCGTTTCCGACCTTGGGTTGGATGCGCGCTCGCGCCACCTTCTCGTCGTTGACGATGGTCATGAGCTTGACGGCGTCGGCGCCACGCACGTAGATGACGGGCCGCGAGAGCGTGTCGGTCACCGCCCCGTTCAGCTGCAGGGCCCACGGGAACGGGACACGCGATGGACGGACACGCGCACGCAGAGGGGCGGTTAGACATGTGTGCCGTGGTTATGACAAACACCACGAAAAAAACGCGAGCGGTGCGAACGGTGTTGACCAAACATCCCCCCCCCCACTCCACCCCCCATGCTGAAACAAATACCCGCAAATTGCTCCAATTAGGGTGACACACAGCAGCATCGCCCCCCGACTGTGAAAACCTGGCAGGAGTCTCCTGAACAAGAGACGGTGAGGCTTTCCTAAGTAAACAAGCAAAATAATAATATAACAATTCCTCCTGTTATCTCTCCATCCCTCCCCCCCACCCCTCACCCCCACCTACGGGTGATTTGGCAAAATCGCTTCGAATCAGGGCCTGAGATTCAAGTCAGGAACCAATTCTCCTTTTTCCTCATTTCTGCCATCCAATTCGTATTGCCCTCGACGGGCAATAACCAATCTGCACGGATGGACAAAACACGCCGATTCTAAAGGCCACCCGTGCATGGGGCGATCATCGCGAATCGGCATCCATCAGTCGACGGATCGCCGCAGCGCACCGCTCCACTCGTAGCGAGCACGGACGGACACGCACGGAAGACGCGGGGGGAGGGGGTCACAGAGAAAACTCGCACACGCGTCTCCGGGCGTGAGGCTCGCCGACCCGCACTCGTCTGCGGTCACACGGGAAGAGGCCAAGAGGATCGGTGGGAATGGGGGTCGGCTCTGGCGGCAAGTCTCGACAGGATGCTGCCGCCGCCGTCACGGCTTGGCGGAGCACGTGAAACAACAGAGGAGCGGCGACGCGACCACCGGCCGCTCGCACCGTCCACCGGTGGCCGGTCGGGCCGAGGCCTCGTGAACAACGGGGGGGGCCCACTCCTCGCACGGGGAAGCCTCGCCAAGTCTGAAGGCTCGTTCTTGGCTGGGAACCGCAGCGTCGTTGGGATGTTTGGGGCTCTTTCGGTACCCAACGGTTGTCTCTGCGTGACGGGAAACCGGAGTGCCCGGAGGAAAGACGCCACGCATGCGAGGGGATAACGCTCATGGCTCTGCGCAGATGGATACGGTCGCAAGTCAGACTCAGTGTAACGAATGGACCAGATCCAGGCCTGGTGTCACGGTAATTGTAATTGGGAGCTATCAACGCTGCTATAACTGTAATTATGGGCGACCCCGGGTTGTGGCCAAGTCATTCTGTGGACTGCATCGGCCGCCTTGCCGGCACTCTGTGAGCCCACGGCAACCCCCACACTCACGCATCTAGAGCACACACGCGCACACACGCACGCGCACACACGCACACACACACACACATGCGCACCTCCACACGTCAGTGCACATGCTAGCGCTTGCCAGTACAACAACCACCCACATCTGAGCAGACTAACAAAAAGACAGAGATAAAGACCCCCTATATAGCCTTAACATATTTTTGGTGCAAGTGCTGTTAAGCGAGCACCTATGAAGAACGGCACCGCACACGATGAGGTGGATGAACATCACCACGCCTGGCCTAGCGGCGATGTTTACACACACTCATTTGAGGCTAAATCAACCTAGGGGAGGCCCAGGACCTGTTCAAATTGTCGTCCCCGATGTTAGTCGCGAGTGATAATTGAACTCGGGTCGCCGGGTTCATAGCGCAGCGCGCTAACCACGGACCACTACACTACCGCTCCCACAAAGCACACACACACACATGGCTGCACAAACACAAAATCTCCATTTACCTAGCAGAGGCTGCCAGGACGAACGCAGAGGTTGGCAAAGCGCACGTCAGGGCAAGCAGGGCAATGCGAAACCGCGCAAAGTCTCCCCCGTGGCCAGCTTCATCCCCACAGTGCAGATGCTCGCAATGACATCACATGTCAGGTGTTGCACTTTAGGCCGAGTCAAGCTCTGGTGGAGCTAGGTGACAAAAACTGGCAACTTCAATCAATTGACATTTATAATTAGTTTCTTTTGGGATAGGCCATGTAGTTATAAGGTCAATGTTTAACTATTAACCCCTTCACAACCCAGCGATGAAGCCAGCTGGGTGGTGGTGGAGGGTTAACGTTAAACGTTGACATCGTACCGACACGGTGACGACATTGATCGACATTCACGTTGTACAGCGCTGCCCATGCTGTGATCGCCTTCACACAAAAACGGCAGGCAAATGGCACGATGGAAAGATCGTGGATTGAAGGGAGACGGCGCGCGCAGCGGGAACACGGAGGGCACAACGACGACTTAGAGCGGCGGCAGCAGCGAGCGGCAAAGACTAAATGTCGCGATTGCGAGCGTCACCTCGCAAAGGTGTGTTTTCAGTCTCACTTCAAAAGCAGCAACAGAGCGAGGTTCCCTGACAGATCGCGCGGGAGCTCGATCATAAATGCAATCGCTCCAGGTGCTGACGCTCCAGGTGCTGACGTTCCCTCTGCACCACTGGGGGACTGAGCAAGGCTGCAATGCTGCGGCACAAGAGGCTGGGATTCGAACCTGACTTACGAGGTCGTCAGGAACCAAACTGAAGAAGCTCCCAGCACGTGGAGGCGCAAACGTCGGACGTCGTGCCGGACAGCGCGCGGTACGACCCGAACGCGCGTCGGAGAGACGGCGTGCGTGCGAGACACGGTCGTCCTCCCGGCCCCAGCGGGGTCACCCCCTCGGTTCTTCACAAACTGCGGTTCGCGTTGTGGCGGAGTCTTCCCATCCCGGGCGGGGGGCCGCGTGTACGGGGCAAGAGACGCGTAATCAATGGCGATTGTTGCATCGAAACTTCCCGAGCAAAAAACTCCTCCCGCTCGTCTTCCAACTGCTCGTGGAGGTCGCGTCGGTCGTGAGCTCCGTGTCGATGTTTCATTTGACCCTGGTTTAATTATTCATCGCGGAAACTTGATTCGTACGCGACCGACGCTGGCTCTGAAATGGGTCGCCGTCTTCAAACGATTGCCCCCCTCCCCCCCGATCCAAAACGATTAGCAGGGTGCACGCCGCCGCCCACGGTAATTCGCAACCTTTTATAACTTTACTCTCATGTCGGTCGTGAGCGTTTGATTGACCATACTTCACCACGCTGGTCAGTGTGCAGAGACCGGCAAAGGAGAAGGAAGGGGGAGGGGGCTCAGGTCCGATTCTGGCATCGCTCATCTCTGGTATCAGCCGTGGGGGGGCGGGCGAGGGGTGTGAGGGGGGTGCGGGTGGGGGAATAATCAAACTCGGGTTGCCGAGTTCACCGCGCGGTGCGCAAACAACCGAGTCATCACTCCCGGCTCTCGAGATTTATTGTCGCAAATAAACATCGGGGGCTGTCGAGCATTTGCATTGTGCCAGGGCCCCGGTGTGCGAGGGTTATTATCGCCGGCGTTTATTGTGGTGCTACACGGAGCGCGACATTTTACTCTGCCCTCTCCAGCCCTCTCGCTGCTACTGAGACTATAAAAGGCAGACGAAGGGGGCCTGGGGTCAAACTCCACATGGCAACCGATGCTCACGCAGGGCACCACGCTCAGATACCCTCCACACATCCTCGACCCCATCCGCGACTGACGGAGGAAGGCCCGCGCCCCCACCACCAGTGACGATAGCATCTTGCGGTGGCTAGGAGATGTTGACTACCTCGCCTGGCATGCAGGAGGTCGTGCGTTCGAACCCGACCTTGACGCCTGCTGCTGTATATTTGGAGTTTGCACGCTCTCCCCGTGGTCGCGTGGATTTTTCTCCGGATCCTCCGGTTTTTCTCTCCACATTTAGAATCAACATCACGCGTTTACAGTATTTGGCTGCTTTACGTTTCCACGTGATAAGCCACTTCGTCGACCAGGTTGCTTATGCAAAAAGAGCGAATCGCTCAGTGGGCCTTACCTAGTGAATGAAATAGTTTAGTTTTATAAACAAATAGTTTAGGTCACGGGGGTTCTTTGACCACACTTTGCAATTTTGACCATGCTGGTCAGTGAGGGGCAATGAGGTGGGAATGGTGGTTGGCATGCAGGTTGGACCGATTCAGGTGTCATGCGCCACTCATGTCAAACCGTGGCCGGTAATCGAACTCAGGTCACCGGGAATTGAACTCAGGTCGCCGGGTTCACAGCCCTGTGCGGCGGTGCTCCTCTCCCTGGGTAAAGGCGCAGCCTTGCAAGTGCTTACGCCACTGCCGGTGGGAGGCCCTCCGCTAGACGGAGCTCAAGAGAGCCCCCTCTGGAGAGGGTTTTGGGCCTACTCTTCCACACTGGCAAGGCATTTTGGAAAAGGTGGGAATACCCAACACATTTCACCATACCGTACGCGATGCGCCGACCACGTAGTGTGCGGGTTTCAAAGTGAACGCAGTGCAGCCGGATTCACTGGACGCTGCTGCGAATGGCGCACGATGAATGTTAAATACTTGATTAATAAACAAATAAACACTGAATGATACCTCAATGATCTACTGTACCATATATGCATGTTCCACAGTCATATGCACATTGATGTACTCATCCCAACGCTGTACACGTTGGGCGTGATGAACAGCACGATGCGCTAACCACATTGCCACCACTCCTCCTTGTCCTCCTCCGTGCATTTCCAGACAGAAACATTTCCAAACTGTGCAACAACGGCTCCCTCTCGCTCTCTCTCATTGCTGTTTCATCACACAATGGGGGAGAGGTTTTCTTCGGCATCCCATTCGCTAAAGATTGCGGCAGGAGATGAGACGATTGTTTTTTTAAGCAGTAGCTGTCAGAATAAATGGGTCTGCTTGGCGAGTCACGTCCGCGGGTGGCGGCTGAGCGAGCGGGGGAGCCCGGCGGGGCGACTGCTCAAACAATCCATCATCATCATCGCCGTCATCATCGCTCTCGTCGTCGTGAAGCCACGCTCTATCCACTGCTGGACGAAGGCCATTCCCGAGCCCGTCGCCATCTCTCGCAGTGCCGCGATGCCACGATCTCGTCTCTCTCTTGTCGCCGCCGCACGCGCGCCCGGCCCCTTTGCCTCCCCCCCACCCCCCCGTCGGCACCGCCTCCACTCTGCCGGTGGTGCCGACTGCCACTCCGTGACCCCGTGAGGCCGCGACGCGTCCCTGCTCAAGCCCCACTCGCAGGTCGCTGCCCCTGGCCTGGCCCACCTTCGACGGAATTGACAACGCTCGGAGCCGCGTGGGACCATCCACCCGATCACCGTTTGGCGGTTAACGTCTCGCTGTGGTGGGCAAGACTCCCTCGCCTGACATGCAGGAGGAGGTCGTGGGTTCGATCCCGACCCTGACGCCTGCTGTAAATTTTGAGTTTGTGTCTCTCTCTCCCCGTGGCCGCGTGGATCTTTCTCTGGGTCCTCTGGTTTTTCCCTCCACGTTCAGAATCAACATCACGCGTTGAGAGTATTTGGCTGCTATACATTTCCACGAGATGATGAGCCACTTCGTTGAACTATCATCTGCGGCCGGGTGGATCTAACCAATCCGTCCGCGGGTGGACGGGACTCGTCCGTCCACTGGAGGCCGCTCCTCAATGGGCAGCGATGCCGAGCGACGTCTCAGCGCTCCGCGGCGTGTTTCATCGTCGTCCGCGCTTCAAAGTCGAGCGAACGAAGGAAAAAAAACGGTAAAGTGCCTCGTAAAAACTGCAGGGCACATTTAGCCAATAAATAACGAGGAGCTAAATGTTTGTGAAAGACATTAATAATGAAAGTGAGGGAAAGCTGTCCAAGGCAGTCATGCTCCATCAATTTAGCAAAGCCTCAGGATGTGTGGTATAACACAGATTAAACCCGAGACTTTATTAAAGAAACGGCAAAAATATAAAAATAATAATGTGGGAGCTCGTGGCGGTTTCTGAGGCCTACGCTCATGTCTTGTCTTGCTGGTGATGTGCACGTGTGTGTCTTACGTGTGTGTGTGTGTGCGTGTGTGCATCTCTTTGTATCGGTGTGTAGTGCTGCAGCGGTTAACACGCTGCGCTACGAACCCAGAGGCCCGAGTTCGATTCCCGCTCATGCCTGACACCAGTGACAAATATCTGAACCGGTTCTGGCCCTCCCCTAGGTGGACGCAGCCTCAAATGAGTTTCTGGTGCGGTGTGTAAACATCGCGACGAGTGAGCCAAAGGCAGCCGGGCGTGGTGCTGACCACCCAGCTCCTCGTGTGCCTAGTCGGCCTTCATAGGTGCTGCTGGCTAAGAGCACTTGCCCCAACAGTCTGTTAAGGGTATATGGGGGATCTTTGTCTTGTGTGCATGCGCACATGTGTGCGTAGCATCCGTTCGGCGTGTGTGGGTGCAATGGAATCCTTGTAGAAATGACATTTTCTCTGCAACTCAAATCGCTCTGTTTTGCAATGCAAATACCAACAAATAGCAGCGAATATCAGCAGACCACTGTGGACACCATCCTGCAGAGTTTTGAGTCTGGCTCACTGTGCCGGGGAGAAAAGCTTCCAGCGTCACGCCCAAAAGGGGGAGCCGAACGACAACCGAGTCGACAGACATCACGCGCCCGGGTTCACGTCCGACGTGCCCACCCCGCGGGTGACCCCCCCCCGCGTAGCCAACGGAGACGACCGTCGCATATCCGACCGTCGCATGTGGTATAACCATCGTTTCCCGGACCAAGGTCAACAAATCTGGGCTCCCCGCACGTGGATGGGCGTCCTCAACCAAGCATGCGCGACCCGCTCGCTTTCAAAGTAGCCGAGCGATTGGCAGGCTCGAAGCATCTTCCGCTGTATCGTTACCCGTGGTCCCAGGCGTGCGCACGTGGGGTGACCGTCACCTTCCAGACACATTCACGCATCTGACCATTTCACACATCCACCTGCACTGCACCTTAATCCCCGGCGGGTCAGATATGCGACGTGGTACCGCATACGAATGCGGTTGATGGTATCTCAATGCTGGCGCTGTACATTTACGTTTGGTAGAGGTGGCCCTCCTACACTCTGGGCGTCATCGCAGAGCGCGTCACATCTCATCTCAACACGTGAGAAAGGGCGCCCCCAGTGGCAGCTGTCCCTGCGTGGCACAGGGTGACTCAGCAACCTGCCGTGTGAACGGCCATCGGTCTGCCGGTGGGGGGCGACGACTGCTGCTGCTGCTGCTTCGTGCGACCCCAAACGAGCGATCTGAGTGAATCGGTGAAGACGGCCCCGACTGTCCGGTACCTGCTCGATGGCCGACGGGTTTTCCGAGACGTCGAAGATGACGGCCGTGGCACCCCGCTGGATCGCGAGCTTTGCCTGGGCAACACGGACACAGACACAGGCACGGTCAGTGGGACAGGGACACGCAGGACGCAGACAGTGGGGGACGCGGTGTGGATCAGAGCAACGTCGCACACGAGTGACTGCACATCCTGCGACTGCACAACGAGCGGCTACATGCGTCCACGGTGCCTGTGGCATGGTCACCCCGCACTCAGCCACCGCCGTCTGCTACAGCAACATCGCCGGGTAACAGGGAAGTTGACCGACGTCACCCTGGCAAGTGAGACTCATCCCCGCCTCTTGGGTTCTCGCCTGGTTACACGAAATTCACTCGACACTTGAACTAATAAACGTGAGGTCATAATAATAATTCAGCGTGGGTTTCCGTAGCAACTAAAGGGACTGTTCAGGAAAAAGCCGAACACCGACTCCTACCACGTGGGGTGGTGCCGATCATCTCTGTTAGTCGTTCTCAGACAGTGGACATTCCACATTCGCTTGTCGGGGGCCAGTTTATCCATCGGACGGAACTCAACTTCCTGCAAAATTGTCACACTTTAAAAAAAAACTGCCACCGAACGAACAGTGGACAAACATGAGAACGATCAAGCTGGCTCAGCTCGCTCGCTTGTTCGGAAACGTTCGGCCTCTTCAGTTTGGAGCGGGACATTCGACGTGGGCGCGGGCGCAGCTGGCGCCGTGGTCACAGCGCCGAGCCCGCTCCGACGCGTCCTCGCGGTCCGCTCGGCGTTCCAGCCACGCGCGTCATTAAACCGCGCTCCCGGCTGTCGCGAGGACGACGGTAATCGTCCCAGTGACGAATGACCGCGCACGTAAAAATAAAATAAATAAACATCACGTGAAATCTGGTGTTGCTAATTTGGCGACATTTCAGCTCTTGAGAAGTGAAAAAAAACATTGGGTTTGACTTGCCATGCGAAAAATCCCACACGGTAGAGTATGTGGGAGAATACGGTGAAGGTGCACAAATCGTGCTGGAGAAGTTCGGTGAATAACTCCGATCGGCAGCCAGCACTCCCTGGCACGCGGCGAACACCGCCCGGTGAGGTTTCCATGACACCGGCGAGAGACGGCGATGGCTCGGGTGGGGGGGGGGCCTTCATCCAGCTGCGGATAGGCCATGGTTGACGATGGTGATGGTGACGATGGTGATGGTGAGAAACGGTGACGGCTCGGGGGGGGGGGGGGGGGGGGCCTTCATCCAGCGGCGGATAGGCCATGGTTAACGATGGTGATGGTGACGGTGATGGTGAAGGTGATGGTGACGGTGATGGTGACGGTGATGGTGACGGTGACGAAGGTGATGTACTTTCAGTGCCGTGCTTCACTCCGCGATCCGCGCTTAAAATAGTTGAGCAGAAGGACAGGAGCTCGTGTTTTGGTTAAAAGCGGCACTAAACAAGATTCGTTAACGATTCTCAAAAGGCAAATCCACTCCACATCTTTTGAAACGCAGCCCAGTAGGATAAAAGATTTGGGGGGGGGGGGGGGAGACGTTTATATAATTATTTCTTTACTTCTTTCATTCCTTTTCTTGGCACGACATGAAAGAAGTCCATGGGCTCAGCACAAACACCCACAGATGATTCCTTCCTCCTGTGTGTGTGTGCCCTAAATCTCTCTCCCCCCTCCTCCACCTCTCTCCCTCTCCCTCCCATTTCTTCCACTTATTTGTTTTGTTACCATTTTAAACTTTTATACTTTCTCCCACAGAAAGGTACGAAGGACGCTGTTGTTGTCGGCGTTGTCCCAGCCCGTAACTTACACCCTCTCGCCAAAGGCCTCCCCACCCCCCCATCTTCCCTCCCGTTCCCCTCCTTTCCTCATCGCTCCTGTCCAGCAATGGCCACCAAACACTGTGACGACGTCTGCCTGCCATCTCGTTGCTGCTGCTGCTGCTGCCGATTACTGTGAGCTGCATCACGTGGGTGTGTCTGTGTCTGTACGGTATTCACATGCGTTATTCGTGAACATGCTATCCGCGATTCTGGCTATCCGCGAATCGCATCTGGAACTACTGCATCGAGAGAGAGTGTGATGCGAGAAAGTGATGATGCGTAGCATCATAAGTTATGCTAACATTATTCATAAACTATTATTTAATATTTATTTGATTTCTGTTTATTATAACGATTTTTTTTCTTTTATGATAATTTTCACGTATTTAATCGCTTATTTACATGTTTATTAAAGGGAATTCATTAGGCCAAAATCAATATCGGCGAAGTTTGCTAATCACGAGCATCTCTGGAACGTACCCCTCGCGAATAACGAAGCAATGCTGCACACACACACACACACGCGTGGGAGAACGCCTCTAATTCAGGACCCTATTACCGATGCCTCCTATTATTCACGAGGGCTGAAAGGGTTCTGATAACTCTTATCATTATTATTATCTGTGCCGCTATTCTTTCTATCATCCGCAGTTACCTGTGAGGTTTTCTGCGCTGCGGAACGAGCCATGAGACTCGGTAATTCTCTCCTGGGTAAATGAGCGGAATAGGAAATACACGCAGCGATATCATCTGTGGTTTCTTCATCCCGCCGAGTACATTTCGTAGATAACATCGTGGATAATAGGATAGGGCGATGGTCGTCCCTCACAGCCTCCTGTGTTGTGTGTGTGTATGATGCACATGACTAGCTTGATACATTGTAAAGCCAATGCTCAGAAAATTGATTCAAAATGGGCAGTAACGTGCGCCCATTTGTGCCTTTCCAAAAAATGTAAATTTGCTAAGACAAATATTTCATGCAAATGTGTTAACATTTTCCATATAAAGCGCCACGCAATATAACCGAGATAACGTATGTACATATGTCGCACCGTACGTAGCCAACCGTGCTGATCGGAGGTGCGGGGGAAGGACAACAAATTAAACACAAAAAGCAGTTCTAAGGAAATTAGTTTTCAATCTATAGCTCCAGTGGCTTCCCAATATCGTAAGGAAGAGCGTTCCAGATGGCCGCAGAAGCGCATCTGAAAGCGCACGATGCAGCGACCGTCTTTGTTCGATGGCCAACCAAAAGCCGCCGCTGCGAGGATGACCGGAGTGCGCGTGATGGTTATGTTCTTCGACAAGATCAGCGAGGTTATTGTGGTTCATTCGTGGCAGGCACTTTGTGTGTAATGAGTGTGTGCAATGAATGTGGCAGTTCGAAACACGTCGGGGGTTTTGTATTGTACGCTGCTGTAAAAGCCCAGGTTTCCACCGATTGTTTCCTCTAACAAAAAGGTCAAAACAGAAAGAATAATAGTGATTACAACTGGGAATTCACTTCCTCAAGAAGCTCCCAGCATGTGGAGCGAAGAGTCAGACGACGTACCGAGCCACCCGAGGCAACAACCCGCAAGCGTGCAGGACAGCACTTCGCTTGGGAGAGCGGGCACACCGGGGGGGGGGGGGGGGGGGGTCTCGAGATGCTGGGGAAATGCCCAAGAATGAAAACGAACCTCAACAGTCCCGCCGCTCGTCGTTCATGAACGGGGACACAAGCCTCCGGCCCAGGCACCCACCCCTGAACCCATCATGAGCCGCTCTCTTGGTGGTGAATTCATTAAGTTTTCATGTTAAGAAGGGCCATTGCCCGAAACGTCGCCTGTTATCTACTTTTCCTTGTAAGGCCGCAGCGTCATCGACGATCGTGTTTCATTATTATATTTTATTGCCGGAGTGACTTGCTGAAACGAACCATGAGGCATTGGTGCTCATTACCATATTTACAACCCTCAGCCAGTGGTGGAAAGTACACATTCCTATGGCGGGGACGAGTCTCTCCAGAGGACAACCGCAGTAAACTTCCCCAAAAAGTGGTGGATGGATGTTAAACGAGTGAATTTTGAGGTTAAGGTTAAATGAGATGGGCGATCGATTGCTTTTAAATCTCACTGTTACGCTGTGACGTTAAGTGCTGTGAAGGCTTTCGTAGCCTGACCACCAACACCACCGCCGCTGCCACCGCCGCCGCCACCACAAGCTCCGCTCACTTCGTCGTGCACCCAGGAGCTCCGACCTACCACCCACCCACTCCCCGACCCGCCCTCGTTCCCCAACATCTCGCGTCGCTCCATCCGTCCCCATCCTTCCCACCCAGACGTCCACTCACAACTTAGCTCAACGTTTACACCATTCTCTCTTTCTCTCTTTACCCCGTAACTTTGAGACCTCCACCTTCGCAATTATTAATAAATCCTTCTCGCTGAGCAGTGGTGGATCCAAGGGTGCACGATGTAAAATTACAGTGTTTTTATGTTTACAACAGAAGCCGCGGTGATTTTAACATTTGTAATAATGTTGGGGCCTATTTGAACATTTCGGGACTGCACCCTCCCACCCTTGGCAAGTTCACAGTTCTGCCTCCGTTCTTGAGTCTCGAATCTAGCAGAGCATTTTGTTCAAAATGACGTGCGGTCAAAATAATGAAAATGCATAAATACGATTTGTGATGATAACCAGAGTTCACGAATACAGGGGAAGAGCACTTGAAGGGCATTATGCACATCATCATCATCATCGTCGTCGCCACCACCACCATCTCTTTCATCAGCGGCCATGACCAACCAAGGCCTCTCCCCATGCCACTGCCCTCCCCCAGGGTGCTGGGGGTGCGCGCAAGCTGATGTCATCCTCTTGGGCGCATTCCATCCCTTGGCTGCCATTCCATCACCAGTCTCACCCATCACCAGGTGTCCTCCCACACCAGATAACCTCCCACAGTAGGTGTCCTCCCACAAGCCAAGTCGATTGCAGAGCACAAAGCCCGCTGGCGCCACTCAAGATGGCTCTGAGCGAGGTGACGGCGAGGTGGATGCGTGACGGTGCTCGCTCCGATGACGACGGAGAGGAGGAGGTAACGGAGAGGCGTGAATAGAGGAGAGCGCAGAGACGGGACTGCGGTCGTTTATAACCTCAATAAACATGCAGCAGCAGCAGCACCGCGCCCCGCACCCACGCTCCCCCTCCTCCCAAACAAGAGCCTCCTCCATCACCCCGCGCCGTCCTGGCAAC